TGTCCATGGATAATTCGCTGCAACGTAATCAACTCCTTTCATAATATCCTTGTCACCAATTTTATCAGCCAATTGCTGATAGTTTGATCTTCCAGTCAATTGCAAATATCCAGCTCCTTTGAACTTTTTACCATCGCCTTCATTAACATTTCCAAGGTCTTTACGATTTTCGTAAGCATCTCCGCTTGCTAGTTCCTTAACAAAGTTTCCATGCACGGATTCATGAGAACATTGGGATAAGAAATGGCGAAGGCTTTCTACAGTATTGATGCTAAATTGTTTGAGGCAATTATTTAGATCAGCAAGGTTGTATTTGCTCCAGCCCATCTCCTTCATCTGCTCATCAGTGACTTCTAATGTCATTGAGAAAAATGATTTATTATAGTTATCAGTTCACTTTTAAAATTGATAGAATTCCCAACTTCACATTGTCACATTTCAACATTTTCTCCATGGTATTTTGGTCCTAGTTATTCATATTTTTATTATTAATTTGCATTATTCTTGTATCATTGAATTGAATGAAGATATAAAATTCCAAGCGTTCAATTTTGATTGGGCATCTCACTTCACATCATCATTTTATTATTAAGATACATATGAATGAATAAATAAACCCGAAATATAGAAGATGAAGTGGAAATCATTCAATTTACCACCAAACAATAAAGATATATTGATTATTGATTACTTGTGAAAATCTCGAAATTAATTTTTATATCCCTTCATTAAGGATGTCAATTTGGAAGAAAAGTGAGAAAATTCCTAAAATGCTAAGAATGAATTTTCCAAACGTATTTTTTTATCTCATTTTTTTGATTTTGAAAAAAATTTGGAGAGAAGAACTCTTCGTTTTTGAATTTTATCACGATGGTTTTAAAGTATATTAGACACATGTATTGGTATTACTATTTTTGTATATTTTGAGAGAAAATCCCTAAAAAGTGAGAAAATCTAAGACGGTTTGAGAAAATATATAAACTATTGAAAATTTGAATTAAACTTCTAATTTGGAAAAAAGAAATTTGGAAAGAAGAAAATTCAAAAATCGAGATTTAGACTCAGCATCAAATGGAGAACAAAATGTTTCTTCATATGAAGGAAAAAAATTTCTTGTGAAGAAATAGTGTTTTTAAAATTTTATTGTATGTAATGAAATAAACAAATATTAAAATTATTTTTTGATAACAAGAAAATTCCCAATAGAAAATATTTGAGAGAAAGAAAAAAAGAAAATTGAAAAATATTACTCTCCTTTATATTTCATGAGATTTTAAATTTATTCTCATAAAATTGACAATTTTATACGTTTAGATGAAAATAAGTGATTTTGGTTGAAATAGAAATTATTATTTGCTTACAGCTATGTTCCGTACCGAAATGCATCACTAGAAAAAGTGACAAAAAGTGACACTTACTCTTATTTTGCGCGGCAATTTTTCTAAGTTATTTTGTTAAGCTAAATGTGTTATATATCAAATCAGCTTTATAAATATTATAGAAAAGTTTATTTTTATTTTTATTTTTAATTATTATTATTATTTTTTAAATTAAAAGAAAACATTAGAATTATATGGATATATTTAAATTAATTATAAAAATAAAATTGAATATATTGAAGTTTGAGTTTATAGGTATACAAATTTTAGAGGCATTTTGGCTGAGAACTATGGTCTGCGAGGTACATGGATAGAATCAGTACCTCGCAGACTATAGTTCTCTATATGGCGCCGAAAATTTTTGGTGAAATGTCGTCGCATTTCACCAAAAATTTTTCGGCGCCATAGGAAGAATTGGAGGGTGTGAGATACTATTACATGCTATAGTACTCACACCCTCCAATTCTTAGCCAAAACGGCTAAAAATTGCTCACAATTTCAACAATTGTGAGCAATTTTCAGCCATTTTGGCTGAGAACTATGGTCTGCGAGGTACATGGATAGAATCAGTACCTCGCAGACTATAGTTCTCTATATGGCGCCCAAAAAAAAATTTATGATTGTTTTTTATCAAATCTTATCCATATTATTCTATTAATGTTAATTATATTTTATCAATTATATTTTTTAAATAATAAACACAAAATCCACTAATTTAAAATTGGCGCCAAACGTCACTTTTGCTAGTGATGCATTTCGGTATGATATAATTTGCTTACAGCTATCAAATATATTTTTGCTATTTTGATTAAAATTTGTTAATCAAATTAATAAATTTTTTCTAAATATCTTAAATATCTGGATCACTCACATATACAATGAATTGAACGATAAAAATAATACAAACTCAACTAAGTTTCCTGTCTTTCAACTAAAAAAAATTATGCAAATTAAATTAAATTGTTTATTCAAATATAAAACAAAGATGAAGTAATTACAGTTATCATAAACTTTATGAATAACTCTGTAATTGGTTCAGATTTTCGTAAAAATATTTTTATTAATATCGATAAGAATACGTTTACCTACTATCACAACATATCGATAAACAAGAGTAGAGTGAATTTTATCATCGAAACTTTTTAAAAGCTGTAAACTGGAAGGAAAAATCTTGTTTTTTCTGAGTTAGTTGTAGAACTATTGATGCACGAGTTATCATTGTGATGTAGAAGAATGTCAATGTACTGACTGAAGGATATGAAGTGAATTGAATTTCATTGCATTTCAATTTGATCAAAATTTGTTGAAATGATATGAATGTGTCAACATCTGTATCACTCTCTTTCACTCCTTCCCTATTCTTTCGAGAACGAAGCTAGCTCAGCTTTCGCTGAGCGAATTGACACTTTTGATGCCCTAAACGTACATGCTCTCAAATTTATCGAAAAAAATTATACCACCTAAACTAGTATATTCTTATTTTAAATATGGTATTATCCTTAGAATCCACACTAGAATATATTTAAATCAACTTTTAAAAAAGTTCGAATCCTGCGCGTCTCACTTTTTAAATTTTCGAAAAGGAAAATTATATTCTCCTAAAATGAAAACAATTTTCCGAATTGACATCCTTACCTTCATTCATTATCTGAACAGTTTAATTGAAAGTTAATTACTCGTAAATGCATTAATGCTGTGTAATAGATTGTACAGCTATAAAACTGAGGAATCATTAAACTTGCTTCTGTAGTTATTATTGCAAATGTAGTGTTCAATATAATATCAAAAATTCAACTCGGGTTTCAAGTACAAATATAATTCATAGTCAGCAAAACCTCGCACATTATAAAAATCATGAGAAACATTTGTTTATCATGTCGATAAATTCTCATGATTTATGAGAGCACTTTGATAATTGTTAGGTAAAGTAGTTAAGCTGTTTGAAACTCTGTATGATTGATCATATGCATTTGATTACAAATATATGAAATAGCTTATTCAATTGAAAATTATCTTTGTAATGGTAGCAATAGTTTCGAATCTATGAAAGAGTTTATTCAAATGAACAATGAATTCATTATCATGAATAAATTTGTGACTCATTAAAAACCAGAAAAAGTCGTTTATGGATTTAAGTCTAAAGATAGTATTTTAGCCATCATATTTTGAATTACATGAATTCATAATAAAAATAAGTATTGATAAAATAAAGTACTCACAAAATCTAGATTGAGAGGCGGTCAATGACTTTTGAGGGGAAATTAACGCATGGAATTTAATATTATTTAGGTTGATATTCTTGCTTATTATTTCAGAAAAAAATCTTAAAAATTTCAATATGAAAATTGAAAGCAATTCAAAAAAATTGCTAACATGTAAATTTTAATATCCTATGCATAATTTCATATTTTGAACATTTTTTATTTTTGTTTAAAACTTAAAATTTTGCGAATTTAATATAATTTATAAAATATAATACGTATATATATTTAAAATACACTAAATTTAATTGTTAATTGACGTTTTTGGGAATGAATTTTATCAAAACATGCCTGAATCCGAAAATTTGAAAGAACGAATTACACAATCATATATGTAGAATTCAAAATACAAACTTAAAGATCGTATACGTTTAAAATTATTCAGATTGTGTTTGATTTCCACTCATTCTGTTTCTTTTGAACTCTAACACTAACATTTCATGATGATTACATGATCCATTTATACATGGTTGAATTGTTCCAGATTCTACCAGAAAATCAATCCAAATTTCGCAATGCATTCATGTTGATTGGACAAAATTTAAAATTTATCAGCCTGTTTCCAGAGAAACTCATATATTCCCTAATGAAATGTAATTTTTGCTACATTTATTTCAATCAAATTTCAAAAAATTGACTGCAGAGCTTGAAAGGTGATGAATCATGTTGTTATTAGATGTACATATTAGATTTACTATTTCCAAAAAAATGCTCAAATTTGAATAGTTTTTAGAAAATTTGGAATTACACTCCTTACATTATATATAATTAAATGTTTAAATTTTATTTATTTTTCCCTTTTAATTTTATAACGTGCGCTATCAAAACTAACCTCTCAATTGAAGGCCACAAAATCTAAGTAGTGAGGGTACACAAATTTTGTATGGAGTACGGTTCAATTTTTGAGAGCCTCACTACTTAGATTTTGTGACTACCTTATTATTCTAGATTATTAATCAAACTATGCAATTTTATATTCTGCCGTAAAAACATTGAAATTATGCCATTTTCGAAAAATCACTTGAACTCTCTTCCAAATATCTAATTTTATTAGAGTTTTTTTAAAAGAATTTACCATGGGTAATTGAATACTCTTTCTAAGTTATTCATGAATAGTTTTGTGAATTTGAGTAACGTTGTTGCTGCTACTAGAATATCTATTCAATATAAAGAAAGGTATTTCAATTTTATGAAATTTTGAACTCGAATTAAGAGAAAATACATTAATTACTTGTTGGATAGATGCCTGAATAAACAATAGAGATAAAAATTGATATAACATATTTTTAATGAACGTTTAAAATATTTTGAATGAATTATTCACCCTTTTATTTTTTATCAGACCCTATTGTTAAAAACAATGCGGAAGAAAGGCGGTTCAATTTCGATGTTTTCTGAGGCAGACAATAACCAAAATGGTCAAAATTCAAAAGAAAACATCGAAGAACTTGCTCGCAATGTATTTTCACTTCAAGATGAAAACCAGAAGATTGGATTACAAAATGATAAGCTGGCAGCACGAGTAAAAGATGTTGTAGAATACAACCAACTTCTAGGTCATGACTTATATAAACTCGATTTACAAATTACTGAGCTACAAGAGAAATTAAAGAAATCAAAAAAGAAAATTCATGATGTCGATGCTCAAACTAAAGAATATACTCAAAAAGCAAATGAATACAAACAACAGTTACTAAAAGACGAGAAATTTGCCCAATTGGCGAAAAAATTACGATCGTTACAAAAATCTAAAGAGCAAGCAACTACAGATCTCACTAAAATGAAAGACTTAGTAAATGATCCTCGATTTAACCAATTAGATGGAGCTATGCAAGTCATGGAAGATAGAATTCACTTCTTATATTTTTCGAATACTGAATTACAGCAACAAATCGAACTGCTACAAAAATTAATGGATAAATCAGGCGATCCAGAAGAAATTAAAGCAGAAATAGAAAACATGAATAATATCTCTGATTTGAAACTTGAATGGATAGAAATGAGATTAGCACAAGGCAAAGCAATCAATTCATCAAACCTCGCAGGAATTCAAGGCCAACAATCGTTTAGTATTTCAGATTTTGAAAAATTACTCGAAGAACCTCCAACTGATGGAACAAATTCCAAAAAATCACCAGAAGATGAAAACAAACCTACAGATCGAAGCAAAAAAGAAAGTCGTAAAAATAAAAGTCTGGAAAATGCATCGAAACAACAAGATAAGGACAAAGCACAATCAAATGCAAAAAGTCCAGGCAAGAGCAAGCATAGAAGCAAAAGTCCAGAAAAAAATTCGAAATCTAATAATGAAAATCCAGAAAAAGAAAACGAAAATGGACATGATCCAGAGAATTATGCAGTTATAGCTACAAACTTACCACCTGGATCCAACAAAAAGCGTGGTAAACGAGATAATTTACGTAATTCAAGTCAAAAAAGTCCAAAGGAGCAAAACTTGTCACCAACAAAACACACAGAGCATTCTGATAATGGAAAACAAGAAGATTTGTCAGAAAATATTTCTCAAAATAATTCAAAAATAAATTCACAGAACAGCAAGGAGAATGAGTCCAAATACGAAGAAGATTACAATTTGGATTATTCTGACGAAAATCCAGGAGATGAAAAATTAAATTCTGAATCGAAGAAGAAAACACCAAAAGGAAAGGAACACAGCACAGAAAAAGGACAAGAAAGAGATCAGAATAAGCAAAACAAAGGAAAAAGTCCAGAACAAGATACAAGACTTAATCTCAAAGAAATTGCAGTCAAATCGGCTGAAATCCTCGCAAATAAAATTGAACCAAACGTTGATGATCACGATGACGATAGCGGAAGACCACAAAGAAGAAAATCTGCCAAATCTTCAAATTCTAAGAGAGAAGGACCAAGTGCAAAATCTAGTGATGCAACTGGTCCAAGTCCTAATAACAAAGAACAAAACCAGCCAAAGGGTTCAAAACAAGAAAAAGATTTAAATTATCCTGATCAAGAGCAGACAGATAAGGATAAAAACACAGAAGGTAGTGAGAAAGCTGCTAATAAAGATGGAAAACCAGAAGTTTCTCCAAAAGGATCCAAATCTGATTCTCAAAAACCAGAAAACAAACCACAAGAAGGAGAAAAGCACGAACAAAAGGATAAAGAAGCTAAATCAACAGATAATCCTAAAAAAGAAGGCGAAAAGTCCGAAAATGAATCTGATCCTAAGCAATCTCCAGAAAAATCCAAATCTGACGCGGATAAGGATGTGAAATTAGACGAAAATAGTCCAAAACCACAAGTTATTGCAGAAACGGAGCTCAAAAAATCGGATGATAAAAATAATTCACAAAAATTAAAGGAAAATGAAAATTCATCTGATTACGAAGAAGATGAAGAAAAGAGAAACAATCAAAATTCGTATGATTACGAAGAAGAAGAGTATAATGATGAAAATCTTGCAAGCGAAGATGCAACAAACGAAAAAGGTCTTCCTCAACTAAGTCTTTCTAAAGCATTTAACAAGGCTTTAGCATCAGATCAATTAGAAAATGAAGAAGGAAAACAATCAAATTCAAAGAAGGACAAAAACATCAATAACGATGAAAAAGAAGCAGAAAAAGAACCAAAGAAATCAAAGTCATCTAAGAATGCAGATGAAAATGATTCTGAAAAAGAAAATTCTGAATCAAAATCCAAAGATCTTAAAGAAAAAGATCCAAAAACATCCAGAAAAGAAGAAGGTGAATATTCTGATAACAAATCTTCCAAACCATCAAGAAAACAAAGCAATGCCGAAGAAAATCCAGAATCAAATACTAAAAAGAGTTCAAAATCATCAAGAAGATCAAGTAAAGCAACAAATAATGATGATGAAGACACAGAAAGATCAAACAAATCAAAAGAAAACAATAGTGAAAATGATGAAGAATCAAAGCCACAAAATTCTTCAAAGAAATCAAGAAGATCAAGTAAAGTAACAAATAATGACAATGAAGATGAATCAAATCCACAAAAATCTTCAAATAAAAGTGAAAATGGAAAACCAAATTCAAGAAGATCAAGTAAAGCAAGAGAAAAGAATGATGATTCAAAGAGGAGTAAGTCTGATAATGAAATTCCTCAAACATCAAGAAGAAAACCCCAAAAAGATGATGAAATTTCCGAAGATGATGAAAAAATCAAAGAAAAATCTCCGAAAACATCGAGAAGAAACAATGAAAGTGAAAGTGATGATTACAATAACTACTCCGAAAACGAAGAAGATACAAAAGGAAGAAGAAAATCAACTAAAAATGATTCAGAAGATACAAAAAGAAAGAAACCAAGAAGTAAATCCCAAAACAATGATTCAGAAGAAGATTATGATGAAGAAAACGAAATCAAGCCAAAGAGAAGTAGATCAGAAAATCAAAGAAAATCATCAAAAGAAAACGAAGAAAAAACAAATCCAAAGAGAAAGAAATCATCACAAAACAACATAGATTCAGAAGATTATGATGAAAAAGATAAACCAAAGAGAAGTAAATCATCAAAACAAAGAAAACATTCACAAAATAATAATAATTATGATTCAGAAACTGATTCTAAAAGAAGAAGTAAATCTCAAAACAACGAAGATTCAGAAGAAGAAGATTATGAATATGAAAACGAAGAAACAAAACCAAGAAAAAGTAAATCATCACAAAACAACAAAGATTCTAATTATGATTCAGAACCAAATGAAGAGACAAAAAGAAAGAAACCAAGAAAAAGTAAATCACAAATAAATGAAGATTCTGATGAAGAAAATCAAAAAAGAAGAAAACAAAGGAAATCATCACAAAATAACAAAGATTCTAATTATGATTCTGAAGATTATGATGAAGAAAAACCAAAAAGAAAGAAACCAAGAAAATCTTCAACAATAAATGAAGATTCTGAAGAAAAAGATAAACCAAAGAGTAGAAAACAAAGGAAATCATCACAAAATAACAATGATTCAGAAGATTATGATGATGAAAAACCAAAAAGAAAGAAACCAAGAAAAAGTAAATCACAAATAAATGAAGATTCTGATGAAGAAAATCAAAAAAGAAGAAAACAAAGGAAATCATCACAAAATAACAATGATTCAGAAGATTATGATGATGAAAAACCAAAAAGAAAGAAATCATCAAAAGGAAGCAAGCAAACAAAAGATTCAAGAAGAAACAAAGAACCAAGAAGAAGTAGTGTAAAAGATAATGATTACAATGAATATTCAGAGAAAGAAGATGAAGAAGAAATAACAGGAACAATTAGTAAAGCTATTGGAATCCTATTAAATAAAGACAAAGAAAATGACAGACAAAGGAGATCAAGTACTGCAACAATGAATGATTCCGAAGATGAAAAACAAAAGAGAAGAAAATCAGATGCAGAAGAAAAACCAAAGAAAAAGAAGAAAGTAAGAAAAAGTGAAGTCCAAAACAAAGAAAAACAAAATCAAGAGGAAGAAGAAAAAGGAAAACAAAAACAAAAAAGAAGACATCATAGAACAGCTTGGAAAGTTAAGAATGGTTTGATGCCAAAACCAGTGGAAACATTAACAATTGATATCAACGAAGGAAAAGATAAAACTCCTGAACCTTTCACAGAAAAATCTCGTATTTCTGATAAAATTTCTTTGATTTCTGATAAATTGTTACAAAAACAAGAAGACAAAGCAAATCCAAATGACGAAAAACATGATTCTACACCAGAAAAGCCAAGTTCTTCTCAAGAAAAATTAGAATCAAATGCAGAAAAACAAAACGAAGAAAATCAAAATTCTGACAAAGAAAAACAAATTTCTTCTAAAGATAAACAAGATTCCAATGAAGAAAAACCAAGTTCCAAAGAAGAAAACAAGAATTCTAATGAAGAAAAACCAAGTTCTAAAGAAGAAAATCAAAATTCAAATCCAGAAAAACAAAATTCTTCAAATGAAAAATTAAATTCTAATGGAGAAAAATTGAATGAAACTGATGAAAAACAAGAAGAGAAAGTTGTCAAAAGAGATCCTTTGGATGAAAACGGAATCCACGTGAATCAAGATGGACATCATTTGCTTCGAGTAAAAAAGCCAATGGAAGGAGATGGAGGATTCCAATACGACTACGAATATTCTGATGGACAAGAGCATGAATACGAGAATTTATCAGATGACAACGATGATGAAGTGAAGAAGAGAACAAGAGTTATTTATATAGTCGAACAAGAAAAAGAAGAAAGTGAAGATGAAGTTTCTTATTATTCAGAAAAAAGTGACGAATATTCAGAACCAGAAGAAAACAACGACAAAACGGAAGTCAACGCTGAAACAACAGAAGACATCAAGATTGGAGAAGAGAAGAAATCAGTCATCGATCCACTTGAAGATGACGACTTGGAACTTGGAGATTTACCGAATTCTCCAGTCCAGAAAAAGAAAGGAGAAAACTCAGAAGAAAACGAAGATAGACCTTTGTCTAAAGAACGAAAAGATTCATTGTCACAACTCATTCCTCAGCTCCGTAACACGAATGAAAATGATACAGATGAACAGCTGAAGAACAGATTGGAAGAGAAGAACAAACAAATTGATCAATGCCAGAAAGAACTCGACAACTTAAACAACCAAATCGCAAGAGCAAAAGGTTTAACAAAAGATAAAAAGAGAAGATTCCAACATTTCAAGTCAAAACCAGTCCAAATTATTGGTAAAAGTAAAGAAGTTGCACAGTTCAGATCCCAACAATTCAACTCGGTTCACGTTGGCGTTTTAACATTGACAACAAATGAAGATATTGTTGAAAACGAGAAAATGATTGAAAGACAAAAAGATGACATCAAAGAAGCCCTTAAACTTGGTAAAGAAGTCACTGAATTACATGGACAAATCAAAGGTTTAGAAGCACAAATAAACGAAGTTAACCAAGAGAGTAATGAAAGACAAACAAAGATTATTAATTTGAGGAATGACATGGCATTACTTCAATCCGAAATCGAACAGAAAGAAAGAAGTAACAAACAAGAAGAAGAAATAACAAGAGAAAGACAGAAAGAATTGGAAGAATTGACTTCTTTGATACAAATGAAACAACAGAAACTTGACAAAGCGTTGAATGAAGTACAATTGTATGAATTATATATCAGAGATATGGTTGCTTACAGGAAACGACTCGAGAAACAATTAGAAGACATTTCAAATAGAGTTAAACCTGAAGTTAAGAATTTGATGAATGATGTTAAAAACTCTAAAGTTACAGTTCAAAATTATATGTCACAGTTGACAGAAAAACAAAACATGATTGAAATGAAGAGAAAGGACTTGGATAAACTTATAAATTCACCAGAAATGGAAAGATACAGGAAACTAAAAATCAGAAGAATGTTCTTAGAAAGGAGAATAAAGAAATGGAATTATCTTCTCAACGATTGCAAGGAAACACTCCAAGCTTTGGAATCATTCTCAGGAAGGAATGTTGATAAAAGAAAGCAACTCTTGCAAATGTTGGAAGGAGCAGAAGATAAGTTGATAGTGAAACAAATGGAATTTGAAGACATGGAGAGATACTCTCAAATGTTAGACCAGATGATTGAAAGTGCCGCAAGAGGGCACAAACTCGATGAGTAATGTTATTTATTTTTATTGTTTTAAATTTTATTTTTATATCTTGTAATAAATATTTATAATAATTTAAATTCAAACACTTATTTCTGAGTCATGTTCATTACCTCAATAATTATACTTTAAGAAGCCAGTTCATCATTAAACATATGTTCATAATTTAATGAAAAATAATAATTATAAAAAAATTCTATGTTCAAAACATATTTGCATCTTAGATTTACTAATTACTAAGACAGTAATGACACCTTAAAACAAATAAAAGCAGAATGGGCATAAAAAAATTTAAAAAAGAATATTACTTGAAAATCCATAGTTTCTATGAAAAATTTTGGTAAGTGACATCACACAAGTGAAGTTTTAAGTTACAATAAAATACAAAATTACAAAATATAAAATATAATCTCAAAACATTAAAATTAACAAACTGGGTTCAAAAATTACCAAAAATTTTAACATAGAATTGCAATGCATTAAACAATTTGCCAAATTATTAATGCAATTATAATAAATGTTAAATTAGATTCAAAATCGTATAATTAGAACGTAGTAGAATAATACACAGATACTTTCAGTTGATCTGGTTATACTTTGGATGTAAATCAACAAAAATAATTAGAATAATAATTTTTGTTTGTTTTCACTTTGAATTAGGAGGTTTGTAAGTATTGAAAATACCTTCTGTATTAGCGCCGCATACAGCGCATGTTTTATCTGTTTTGAATCGTTCAAAAGCGCAATTTTGGCAAAAAACGTGTCCGCATTTAGTTTGAACAGGATTCTTGAATGTACCTTTGCAAATGGCACATATGTCGATATGTTCCACTGTTGGTTTGTTTGATTCAAGCCTTGAAGTTTCAAGTTGTTTTTGCTCAAATTGACGATCGAGATCATAAGCTAAAGCAACTCTATCTCGTATATGAACAAATTTGCATGCCCATCCAAAAGTGCAATAGCCTGTATTATAGTAATCTTTGCAAATTCCAAATTCTGAGTCAATAACAGGTGAATATTTCTGCCATCCCATGTTTTTTGTCGTCTCATCACTATTATGCATATTTGGTTTGATGTCTTCCTCATTCTTTAAATTCGTTTCAATATTATTTTTAATTTCTGGAATGTTTCTTTGTATAGGCGCTTCTTTATTTTCGGTTTTGTTGTTAGTTTCAATGTGAATCTCATCTTGTGGTGATAGCTTAGGCAATTCTAAAGATGTTGTTTTTGTTCTTTTCCTCATTGAAAATAATTTATTCAAAAAATTTTACTTGTTTGGTAAAAAATATTAAACATATAGAGATAATTAAGATTATGAGAATAAAAAAATTCTATAGTCTTTGAATTAATTGTAATATTTTTAAATATCAATATTAATTCCATTAAAATGTAAAGCCTGTGTAGCTCAACCGGATAGAGCATAAGACTCTTAATCTTGGGGTTGCGGGTTCGAGTCCCGCCACTGGCTCTTTTTTCTTTTTCTCCCACAACCTACTATTTTTTCACATTTATTTTGATCTTCTAATTCATTGGAAATATCAGCAATTTGGCAAGCATCCATTTTTACTAATGAAAAAAGTCAAAATAAAAGGGGTGTAAACTCAATATTCTAGATATCGCCATTATCATTAATTTATGATTCTTTACAATGTCAATCATCCAGTATATCAATCTTCATTCAATACATGAAATCAAAAATTTATTTTGTTATTTCCAATTAAACCATAAAAAATTGTATCGCATATATTCCATAATTGATGCGAAAACGCATAGTTTTATCTTATTTTTGAATTTGTCTTCAATTAAGAGCATCTATGGAGAAGATCTATTTCATTACAAAGAATTGGAAGATGATAATGATGATGCCCCTGAACCCATAGAAGTGCCATTCAAAAATACCTCATCATTACCTGATTTTGATTTCGATTTAATTGATGAAATTTTTCATCAAGGAAACAATAAGAAAATCATATACTACTCAACCATCTTAGCTAAAAAACTTACCGTTTCGTCATCAAAATTTGTAGTTCCTCTTAAAACTTTGATCACAATTGTTAATTCTATGGACAAGTTATGCCCAGAAGCTATTAAGAAGGCTTTAATAGTCGTGATATTCACACTCCAAAACGCAACACAATCATATTTTTCGGAAATTTCAAATTCAAATTTTATTGAAGATTTAATGAATCTGAATATGCAGAATTCGGATTATTTTAACTTGTTCTATATAATAGTTTCAATTCTCCTAGAAAATTCATGTTCACCACAAATAATATTTTCAAAATTGTCATTCATTGATTTACATTTTAATTTAGACAGTGATCTCGATTCGAAAATCGTTTACCGACTATTCAGATCACTTTCAAACTATAATTTAAATGATAATATAATATTTGAGTTTAAAAGAATATATAAAGAAAATTTACAAAGAAAAAATCCATCCGCAAACATCATATTGCTTATATTGCAGTTCACATCATATAATGGCATAATAGATGATGAAATTATTCAAGAATTGTTCAAACAGGCTTCAGATGTAATTAGGCAGAGTTCATCAACATGTTGCTATGTATTATATAACATAAATAACATTGATTACTCATTATACTCAGAATTTCTCCAAAAATTAGTTGTAAATTTTTCAAAATACACACAAAACAATGAGAAAATCAATTCATTTTTATATTTGTTAGCAACAGTTATCACTGATTCACCAAATGCTATTGATTTTCATTCAATTTTCCTATTTTCTGAGTTATTAATTAAAAACATTGAAAAGTATGCAGCAATGAATTACAAACCAATTCTGTTATTCCTTGACTCTGTTATCTCCCAAGGAAATTCAGAAATATCCGAGATTTGGTGCAAATTAAATTTACCTGCCTTTTTAATCAGCAAATTAGAGTCGGAAGATCATGTCGTGACAATGACATGCTTGGACATTATATCGCAACTATATGAAAAGGCCGATTCTCTAGAAATAAAAGATTCGATTATTAATGAAATAGATGAAGACTCATTTGATTTCATTTTAAACCTCACCGACAATGAAAACGAAGATTTAAGTAATTCCGCTTCATTTTTTATCTCATCGCTTTTTCCAGATAATGAGGAAGGTTAAATTAATAAATGAATAAAGATAAACATCTCATGAGTACTTATTTCATTAGGTTTTGTTCTACGTTCATATTAATAAAATTTTTAACAATATTTATCGATACTATTTTATTCAATTTTGTGGGAAATGAATTATCGACTTTATTTTTACATGATTTTGCTCAGGCGTTGAATATAAGAGTTTCAAAATGAATATAAAATTGAGATTGTTTCTCAATTTACGACATAGATTTTCGGTTTTACACAATTTTTTCAAAAGTACAACTTTCGGTTTCTATTTCAAAAGTGATTTCCCTTACCAATTATCACTGAGGTATTTGCTAATATATTACTATCTTTACGAAAAAATAAATCTTAAGAAAAAATATTTTCTAAATGATGATTTTAGAGAGAATCCTGGCAATGAATCAAAGCACAAACAATATATGGAACACATATTATGATGACAAAAATTATTTTCAAGTCTCAAATGAAATAAATCCATCAATTGCTGTAACTCATAACAATTTGTTCATTTTCAAATGCAATTTCCAAGAATTGGATGATAGATGCATTAAAATAACATCTACTTTAATGCATTTACTACATTCCGACTGTAATTTTAACAATATATTAAGTGTAAACAGAGGATCTATTATTTTTATTGAAAAAACGAATACAAATGTTGTACAAAGAAGATTTTCAGCATACAATTGCTGCTCAGAGGCATTTGGAAGTGTAGCATATACAATTTCAGATCAATCAACAACTTTAAGTTACGCAGAAGAAAGCAGTATTACACAATGTGGTAAAGACAATGTTGATTACATATTTCATAACAAAAATGGAAAAGTCAAGTTTTATTATATAAATTTTAGTAAAAATTGTTACAATTCAAAAGGATTTTCTATAACTACGCAAAACTTCGAAAACATCGCATTCTCAACAATTGCAGAGAATAATGCATCCAAAATCGCATCATTATATTTTGACGATTGTAATAATTGATTATGCAGTTTTGTAATGTTTTTAAGAATTTTCAAGATGATACAGAATTCGGAAAATTTTATGTCATCCAAACAACTCTCAACATATATAATAGCAGCTTTATTAACGATTTTGGAAAGGGAAGACTCTTCTATGCAGGTTATCAAGCAATAATTAACATTTATTATTCATATTTAGAAGATTTTTCATTTTCTGGTAACGTTACAACATATGATAATACGCAATATATGACAGTTTCATTAAATTATTCGGATTTTTATCCAAGCAAAGATGCCAAGACTCATCATCAAACACATGTGATCCAAGTATATAACCCTCGATTGAGAAATTATAGAAAATGAAGATAATCCCCTAGGAAATATTTATTTTAACTTAGATGAAAGACATATTGCGGCCTTATTTAATTCAAATCTTTTCAATGGTATGAGGTTGGGATACATTAGATTTTTATATTATATATGAAATGGTTTTTAAGGGTGCACTTATTCCTTTCTGGCAACCTCTTAAAATGAGGAATACAAGTGTGGAGATTTATTGTAAATAAATCCTTATGGTCAGAAAGTGGTAAGTGCACAATTAATCTACTAATTTGCAAGTTTTGAATCGTAATTTAAAGCTTCTTAGATTGGATGATATAAAGCACACTTCCCTCATCACTAGACTGAGAAGATTTTTATGATTGAAATTGCATGACAAAATCTATCCTTATTTTTATCAAGAATTGCTCTGAAATGGGGCAATGATTCCAAATTATGTAAAAAATATAAATTAGTTCATTTGCTTATTTGATTAGCTTCATTACATTTCAAATATTCAAAATAGCTTTGTATCAACTCGCAAATGACAATCAACTATGTTTTTACATATCTTGATATAGAAATTTTCTTTTTTTCAATTAATTTAGTAATTTTGATCACTACGTTACAGTTTAGTAAAGATAATGACAATTTGTTTCATCAAGAAGGAAGATTGATTAGAAAGATATGTGAATTTTCGGTTTTTCTCAAATTTTTCAAATTGAAACTTTTTTAAGATATTGGCAATCGGCATTCGTTTAAGTTCTACATCTTTTTCTTAGTTTGAAATAGTTTTTAAGGAAAGGTTGAGATCCATTGAAAAAATTAATTTTTTTTACTTTCAAAAAAGAATGATAACTTTCTTAAGAATTCTTGCGTTGAAACAAGAACTAAGCAATATATGGAACAATTATTATAACGATACGGACTATTCTACAACCCATAATCAGCAAAATCCATCAATTTCAAGTAGCATCCAGAATATGCTTATCTATCAATGCCTTTTCAAAGGATTACAAGAGACATGCATCAAATCAACATCTAATGATGCAAAAATACTTCATGTAGACTGCGTTTTTAATAATATCTGGAGTGAAAATAGTGGATCTCTAGTTTACATTGAAAGCACTGCTTCAAATATTGCCCAAAGGAGATTTGAGGCATACAATTGCTATTCAAGTGTATCCGCAGGTGTTGCTTATATTTTTCCAGATCAAACAACAACATTAAGTTACACAGAAGAAAGTAGTATTGCCGAGTGTGGTCAAGACAGTGTAAACTATATCTTTTATAACAAAAATGGAAATGTAAAGTTTTCTTATATTAATTTTAGCAAAAATTGTTTCTATACAGATGGATTTTATATAGATACTCAAAGTTTCGATAATATAACATATTCAACAATTGAAGAAAACAATGCAAATAAATATTCTGCCTTTGCTGTGTTAAATGGTAATGATTACTCAATGAAATATTGTAATGTTTTCAGAAATTATCAAGTTAGTACACGTTGTGGAACAATTTATGCAATATATACAGAACTATATGTTTACAATAATAGTTTTATCTCGGATAAAGGAAACGGAAAGCTATTCTATGCAAGCACAAATGCAAAAATAAAAATTTATAACTCTTATATCGACAGTACTACAGATTATGGCTCTGTTTCAAGCATTAATTCTGTTGATTCAATGACTGTTTCGTTAAACTATTCCGATTTTTCTCCAAATTTAATAATCACGAATCAAACATATAATTATACAAAAATCATAAATCCAACATATAAGATTCAGGTGGATACTCATCGTATGCGAAATCGTAGATTTTAAATAAACAATATTTTTTAAAGGTTGGCAACAAATTGATTTTAACCATCCACTAATATGTACTCCATTTCTTCAAGATCTATCACCTTTTTGTTAAATTGAAAGGTATAATAATTGATATATTTTGTTTTAATTTTTTCATTCAAATAAACGTAAATCATTTTCCTTAGTCATCTCCCTTTTTTGAGTACTATTATGGAAGATTAACATATTATAATCAACTAAAAGGACTGAAATGGTAATACTCCTCTTCTTTATGCATTCATATAAAATCAATAAGATATTAAGAAAGGAATAAGTAATGAGATACAACAAAAACTCGAGGTATCAAAACTCCTCATAAAAATAGATTCCCTCTTTTTTTATAATTCGATATAACTTATTATACAAAACTTTTACGATATCACTCTATGCATGAACTAACGTTTTATTTACACTCAGTTTTGGCTTAAAACACTTCAATTGAAGTAAATTATGAAGTCAATAATTGTATAAAACAATTGTTTGAATTTTCCCATCGAGACTATACATGACATTCCAATTCATGTTCAAACTAAATCAGTGATTTGATGAATTACAAGGAAATCCTTGAAGGCATAATATCCCCTAAAATAATTCAGCAGACCCAGCTTTTTTTAAAATTTTTTTATTGGAAAATGAGTTCTTCGAAATTTTGGAGTGCAATTATCTCTCCTGATAAACCCTGCCAAATTCAAGTGCCCGAGGATAAAATATTAATGATTTCAAATGCATGCCTCTCAGAATATTCAGAAGAAAATAAAAATGAACCAACACGAATTGTAGTTACAAAGCATGAAACACCAATTCCAGAGGATCCTATTATTATTGCTACGCTTATTCCAGAAAAGAAAGAACATTGTGTTTTAGAATTTAAATTTACTGTTGAGTTTCCATGTACGATATCGGTTCGAGGAAAGGGTACCATTCATTTAGTCGGATTTTACATAAATCTTAATGATGAAATTGCCGAAGAAGAAAATGCAGTAGAAACAGGTGACGCACCTGAAGTTCCTCTTCCAAATCCGTCTGAAATACATTAAGCTGAATATTTTTAAAATATATTATGTTTTATTAAATAATATCTTATAACATTGAATAAAAACAGATATTGAAGTAGATTCATACATTACGTTCAATTTCAAGATATCAAGGCTAAGATATATTCTGATTCAGAGGAAAAATTTTGGATGAATCCAAAATTTTCATTGAATTCGAGTAGGGGTAATTTAACTAAAAGTGACACGCATGTAAAAAGTGACACACCCGTGAAGGGTATGATTACCGATCGGTAATTTCGACAGTTTAGAATTTAAAATTTTTTATGGAACTGTTGCGAGTTTCATAAAGAATTTAAGGAATATAAGCAAAGATTTGAATCAAAATCTTAGACCTAAGCCGCTCGATTCGCTCGCGGCTTCCGCGAATTACAGATCAGCAAAGATTTGAATCAAAATCTTCGAACTAAGCCGATCGCTTCGCTCGCGGCTTTCTTTATTATTTTAAATTTGCATATTTCCATCAAAAGTTCATAAGGTAAAAAATTTCGTTTATATTATTGCAAAATAAAATCTTCATTATCAAAATAATATTAAATGATAATATAATATAATTTATAAACAGCTATTATTTAATAAAGTTTAATTGCCAAGGTTCATCTAATTTTTTGATTTTTAATGTTTTATGAATTTTATTTATCATGTATATATCTAATGAAGATTATATATGTAGAAGATAAGTACCTTAATATGTACGTAAAAATTAATGAAATTTATTTTGAATGTAGAACCGAGCAATTTTCAAATTTTGTGCTTTTTTTGAATTTTCTCGATACCAGATAAGTTGTGTTGGCTAAATAATATATGGATACAATGTGTCTTATAGATGAATATATGCACAAAGTTTAAGAGGCCATTTTCTTTCAGAAACCGAGATTTGTGAATTTTTTCAAATTTTGTGCTTTTTTTGATATTGAAATTTCATTTCATTTTTTTGATGCATATCGATGCACCATGCGAACTTAAAGAAAGGCTATCTTATATAGATGCTATGAAAGCTGTCATTGATAACGAATGCCATGCAGGTTGTCCATATCAATTAAAAAAAATCCAAATTTAGGGGGAACAAAATTAAAATTCAGGTGCAGTGCAGATAAATGTGAAGCATGTATCTCATTTCTAAAGGATGATGAAGAATATATCCTAACAGAATATAATGGAACACATAATCACAATCAAATCAAAGATGAGACAAAGAAATACCACACATTATCACAATGCTATCGTCGGGTACTTATTAATTTTATAAAACAGGGGGGTGATCCGAAAATGGCTCAAATTGAATGCGACAAAAAACTTGATCTGGATGATCCACTTAACAGGCCATCTTTTTTGAATGCATCTTCAGATCAAATGAAAACAATTCAGGAAAAAGGAAATAAAAAGATCAAAGGTATTCAAAAGTACGATGATAATCAATTCAAGTCAACTCAATTATTTAAGGGTATCAAAGAACAAGAGTCACCAAAAGATTTAATTTATTTCGATGTCGATAATTACAACAAACCAAAGAAATTAATCTTTTATTATGCTTCTTTCAAATTTCTGGACATAATCAAAATTGTGAAAGAGCATTTTATTGATGCAACCCATTCATTACTTGAATTTAAAATGTTGTTTTACATGATATCAGCCAAATTTCCAAATACACATGCATTCCCAATTTTTCAATTTGTCGTTTATCCAAACACTTCAGAAAATATTGCATTCTGTCTCAAGGCATTTTTTAACTGGGCAAAAGTAAAACCAAAATATTTTATGTCAGATTGTGCACAAGAAATCGAAAATGCGATTATCAACTCTTTTCCAGAAGTTATCCTTCATTGGTGTGCAGTTCATGTAATGAGGGCGTTCAGAAAAAATTTGAAAGATTATGCATTTGAGAGTTCAGACAAATTGATATTAGATACAAAAATGAACTATCTTGCATACGGCAGAAATGGCAAGAAAGAATGGATTGAACCAACGTTCAAAAAAATTCTGGAAATAGCCGAAAAATTCCCAGAATTTTCAAAATACATACAAAATCAATGGATATCAAACCAAGAAAGATGGACAGCCGCTGAAAGAGATGAAAATTTAGCTCTCACAAATAACATTTCAGAATCGATTAACAAAAAAATTAAATATTACTACTTTGGCGGAACAATTTTCATGAGATTTGATCGATTTGTGATGAAATTAATCGATTTTATCGTTCCTTCATTTTATTACAGAATTTCTCAAGATATAAGGCTCAGAGACAAAATTCCAAATCCGTTGCCATCTGAAAAAAAGCCAAAAAAGTCTACAATCAGACTGGATACAGAAAAATGTATAATGCTCACTGATAAAATTAAATCGTTAATAGTTAACTCATCAGCAAACTTAAATACGCTTCAATTGGGTTTAGATGACCTACTTGATAAAGTTGTCAAGGCAGCAAAGGTTCAAAAACGAATGACCCAGTATTTTTCGAAATTAAGTATCCCAATGGAAATCAAGCTTAGTATTCTCACGCAAATTACAGAATTTGGATGCAATACCCCTCAATTCATTGTTGAGAATGCCAAGTCTTTTCAAGATAAAATTATTACAGATTTCCACCTTCAAATTTATACAACATTATAAAAATTTATGAATAAAAACTTGATATAAAATAACATTTTTATTTTTACTAAGAAAAAAAGGTTTTTGATAATAAATTTATTTTATTTCGAAAAAGTAGCAATAATCGTAAAAGGGTATTGATAGGCTTGCTAAAGTAACTAATTTTAGCTGTCAAATACTTTTGTATTTTGAAGTAAATTAGTATAAATTTGTTTTTACTTTTATTTCGAAAAAGTAGCAATAATCGTAAAAGGGTATTGATAGGCTTGCTAAAGTAACTAATTTTAGCTGTCAAATACTTTTGTATTTTGAAGTAAATTAGTATAAATTTGATATTATTTTAACTCCCTTTGAAAACCTCAATTTTCCATACAGAGGGAACGGGAATAGCATCCAATATTCCCTGAGAATGGTTGCGCATTCTCAGTTCCCTCTATATTTCGAACGAAGCTCTCATCGGTCTTTTTTTTAATACTAAACGTTTTTTTCCCTGTCACTTTTAGCTAAAATTGGGGTTTGCCTGATGATTTACATCCAGAACAATTTTGGACAATAAACAGTCAGGTTTTAAAATTGGACATGATATCAATACCATTCTTTCATTTTGGTGTTTGAGCTTAATACTTAGGAGAATGATAATTACAATCTAAATCTTTCTTAGATGGCAGAAGATTTATGAGAACCGTAATTATTGATACAGATTCTTTCATATTTTTCTGGACTAGAAATGCAAACATTTAAAAACAAGTTAGGATGATTAAACATTAAAAGAACATAAACGCCTAAATTTATTTAACATACAAAAGAAATAGTACCTAACGATATGATATACATAGGATCTAATTCATTCAATAAATCAATTTCCAAGTCATCCTTCGAGGTCTTCCTAATAGATATCGCTCTTCTAAGACCGTCACCGTCTAGAATTGCATTCTTTATAGATTTTACTACTGTTCTACCGAAAAAGTCAAGCTGCCATTCATTATTTTCCTCGTTAAATGTTGGCTTCCTTGAAACTAATTGAGTAACGTAATTTTCAGGTGTGTTTCTAGTGAAAGAAAATTCTAATCTTCGTGCTGTTTTCCTTCCACCCGGTACTATTTTAACCTCGGCCATGACATTCGATTCATAATCGTCATTATCAATGTAAATTTTTGCCGTTTTTATCATGAATCCACCAATTTTGAGAATAGCATCGTAACTTGTATCGGAATTTTCTAAATAATTCTTAGCTCTAAGGTAGAAATTGGAAGATTTGAAGAAAGCCTCATAAACGATTTCATTTTTCTTCATGAGTTGGAAGGCTAACTTTTTACCAAATGATTGTATTCTATGAACTGAATAAGTTATATCAGATGGAGGCATAATTTCTGCGAGATGATGTGGTGACATATAAACTTCCCTTTCTTTACCAGCAATTTCTTGGAAATTAATAACAGGATCAAATTTTAACTCTTCTTCATGTGATCGATTTGGAATTTCTATGGCTGTAGTTGAATTTGGCTTCCCAGTTGCTTGAGCTTGCACATCAATAGACATACATTGGTAATTTAAAGTTGAATTTGCAAGATCGTCGCGAGGATCATAAGAATAATCCAATTGAAAACACGATTGGCGTTTTTTATTGACTTTTCGGATGGGCGAGCTACTTTCGTACATTCGAGGTGCTGCTTGGCTTGTTGGCTGCTCGCTATTTTGTGGCTTAAATGGTGAATCTTCAGTTGGTACTAATCTAAAATGTTCCTTTAAGATTACGACCTCGTTGGATTTTTGTATTTTAATCCCATCTGCATGCTTTAAATGCTTGTCGTTGTTTTGGCATTGCGTATTAATAAATATCCATTCAGAGGAATCACTGCTATCTTCAAAATCCATTGATGAAAATTGAATATATTTGAATCTATTTGAAAAATGGAGAGATTATTGAAGAACTCAAAAGCTTAGATGATAATCTAATAAAACATTTATTCAATTTTGAAGATTGGAAGCTTGTAGGTGAAAATTTGAAAGATTTTGAATGGGAATTCAAAAACAATTTTTTGAAAAGTCTGCAATTTTGATATCAAAAATTCATTTTCAGAAAAATAAAGGAGGAATATCATTTATTAATAATTAATAAGAGTTTCAGGCAAAATTTTTGCAATTCAATAGAGTCTAATATCAGAAACGGTAATAAATAACATTTTAAATGTTTTTGATCAAGAACCCGTTTTACAAAATTTGTGAAGTTGTGAAAGTATTGAATTATCTTGATCATTTTAACAAGTATATTTTTGAAAAGTAATGATACAAGTTTATGTTAATACAGTACTACATTAACCTTTCAAAATTTGTGAAGAATTCAAATTATATCGATTTTATATCGAGCCATTGGTATTGTTTATAATCAGGTATTGACTATCATTATTCAACTAAAAATCAATTGATTAGACATCGATTTTATTAATTCACAACAATTAAATTTAACAACAAATATATAATTATAGGAATAACAAACGATTAAAATCCAAAAATCAAAAGTTTAACGTTATTCTCAAAACTATAAAACATTTTATCGAAATACAACTAGATATTTACTATCTCATTCTTTTCCCAAAATTTGAAAAATTTGAATTAAAACATGATATATCCCAAAATAATATACAATTTACGATTATAATAATTTTTCATTACATCTATTGTTTAATAATTTTGAATGCTTTTCAGAAACAATTAATTGAAAAAGTCTTTTGAATATTCTCTCAATTAATTTTTCATATAAATAATTTATTCTTATTATTTATAAATTCATATAAATTCTTTGTTACGCCAAATTTGCCAAACTTTTCTAGATTTTATTTGAAAGATACATTGATTATCCGGAATTCGCTTACCAGCATCATATAATGAAGGAGATATACTTTTGCGATTAAATTCTTCGGTTCTCACAATTTGAAAACATAATATACGAAATGTAAAAGGTTTGAATTTCAAAAAGTCTCAACATTATTTAAGGGTGCACCCGTATGTACGTTTATTTGAGAGGAGGAGGATTACCCTCTCAATTTTGAGGGATTCGTTAGTTTATTTTCTCGATGAATATGCAATAAAATTTAATTTTTACCTTATCAATATACTTCATATAATATACACATGTTCATGTAAAAACTTTTTTCCAAAATCCTCAGAAATTAAGGGATTTTTGAATTTTAAAAATTTTTTTTGAATTTTTTCGAAAAAAAAATATTTTCAGAACAGCCTTAACGGCTAAGATTTAGGAACAATGTTAAGTATCAAAATTAAAGGAGGTCTGATATAGACAACATATATCGTTGAAGGTTGAAAAAATCTCTAATATTTGAGCCCAAAATTTCAAATTTTAATTTTTTGAAAAAAGAGGCCACCCGTATGTACGTTTATTTGAGAGGAGGAGGATTATATTTTTGAAAGGGTGAAACATTATGAATATGTTAATTATATAATAATATGTATTATTATAAAAAAGAAAAAATAAATCACGTTAAAATTTTTCTTTCTTGATTTTTTACAAAATCTACTTAGAATTATGCAAAATATGACTAAATAATTATAAATTTCAAGTTAAATTTTAATTTTGATAAATAATTTAAATTTCAAAATATCAAGTTCAGTTCGACTATGTATGTAGTAATTCCTCAATAAAGTGCCAAAACCCTATTAAAATATATGAACATTTGCAACATTTTAATGTTTTTATTTAAAAATTTGTTGGAATATGAGCTTCAAACAATTATTATGTAAATAAAAATAATTAAATATATGTATTTATTCGTATTACAACCGTAGTAAGTCGATTCTTCCTTTCTTCTACTGAGTTTTGAATTTGATTTCGAATTGTAAAGAGATTCAAAGGGAAAATACTAGCGGATAAAAACTACCTCCATGAAAGGGTCATAATGGAGTCAAGTTGTATTTTTTGATATTTTTTGCTTTTCGAGCCTAAATAGGTAGCCAAGATAATGCCTAAAAATAAGGTTCTAAATTCTGAAGTTTACATGATCCTCTCGTGTGCACCCTTAATGATGCCTCACACTCTAATCTCTGATAGAATACAGGCAATAATTCACCAAAAGTACATCTCAATTTTTTTTCATTTTCTTAATTTATAGTTTTCATCTTCATCAACACAAAACACCTGCTTTAAAACTTAATGTGACACTTAAAACACTTCAAAATGCACTCTTATCATAAAATTCTATTTCTCTTGACCTTTCATTTCCTCATCTTGTCATAGTTGCATCAACTCATATAGTATTGTTCGTATTCTTCCTTATTTGTTATATCTGTGTTTCAAATTTTAAAATACATTTTCGCTATTTCTTCTCTCAATGTATGCTGTCAAACATTCATACCCATGTATTAATGGCCCGAAACCAACATTCAGATAGTCAACAATCAATTATCAGATTTATCGATAATTTGATTTTCGCCTTAAATCATTCAAATCACTTCTTCCATATAAGAATACAAATTTTGTATATTAACAATCACTTTCTCTTAGAAAACAAAACTCTCAAATTGGTTGGAGCAAAAATTGGCGTCACGAAGCGTCACGACGTAACTATCTTAATGAAAGCTTCAGATGCGTAAACATTATTAAAGTCCTTTGCGTCGTGGCGCCTCGTTCATATTGCATATTTCGATGATAAACTGAGTAATTCTATATTATTTATTGAGTATATCATCTATACATTACATAGCTAGCACATATATTGAATATTAGGAATACGAAATCATATTTGTAAAATCCGAACGATAGCAAAAATGAATGAGTTTGAGCTTTCATACAATGGAACTCCTTTCATAATCAATCCTGAGGCTTTTTGCATGTCTTCAACGATCTTTAGTCAGATCTATGATACTACTATCCCTAGTATGGTTATTACAAATGACTATCCTCTCGATGTTTTCAGAACATTTTTGATGGCCGTTCAGAATCTCGATTATACTATTGATGAACACAATGTCGAAGATCTTCTTAGGCTTGGAACAGAATGGGGTGTCCAATCTCTTGTTAATGAGGTTAACAAATTCTTAACGCTCCATTCCGTCCAAAACTCGGCTACAATTCTCATAGACAACTATGAAAAAGGTGTACCAACCGCAGAGCTCGAGCTTTTCTGCGCAAAGGACTTTAATAATGTTTACGCATCTGAAGCCTTCATTAAGATGCCAATTGTCTTACTAAGAAGCGTTCTTGCCCATGTATTCGAAAACAGAGTCGAATGGAAGGTAGATGACATCAAACTCGCTATAGCTGTTAAAGAAATTCTTAAAGTACACGGAGCTAACATTTCAGAGTTCTTTGAGAAGCTTGATTTCAACCAAATCCCATCAATCGTCTTTTACACCCTCATGGACAGCGAATTCTTCAACAAAGAAAACGTTGCCGATCAAATCTTCGAAGCAACGAAGAAATTGCTTGCTTCTCTCAAGTCCAACCGTATTGAATCAGAGAAAGAGCTCAAGAATGCTAATGTTCTCGTCAGTTCTACTCAGAATAAACTCGAAAATCTGAAAGTCGAAGTTCAGAAGGCCGCTGAGAGCATTGACAAGATAAACGATGAAGCAGCAACAAATGAGAACTACGTCAAGGCCATTAAAGAGAGAACAGAGCAAATGGAGAAAATTTTGAGGGATCATGGCGAAAGACCACCACCAAAGAACAAGTCAAAGGGCCAGAAGTCACCAAGGGATGTCCAAAAGCCACAAAACAAGGCTCCTAACAACCAACAGCAAAAACCACAAAAATCTCAAAAACAAGACAACAAATTCGCTCCATATTATGCACCACAAGAACCTACTCAAGCATCAGCTCCATCACAAACCAACGAAAACAAGTACGCTCCACTTAGACAGAACCAAATCCAACAAAATCCACAGAATCAGAACCAAAACCACCCACAACAGAACAAGGCAAAGAAGAACAAGAACCAGAATAAGAAGAAGAACCAAAATGACTCGAAATTCGCTGTTTACAGACCTCCATCAAACCAACAACCTTCTACGGATGCAAAAGACACCCAGCAAGAACAAACAACCGAAACTAAAGAACAGCAACCAAATAACGAAGCTCCTGCACCTCAACAAGAACAACCAAATAAAGAGGAAGTTTCCTCCCAACAAAATGCAGAGGTTGCTCCCCCTCAACAAGAGGAACCTCATAATGAAGTTGCTCCCCCTCAAGAAAAAGAGGAAGTTCCCCCTCAACAGCCAAATGAAGAAGTTGCTCCACAGCAACAGGATAATGATGCGGCTGCACCTCAACAAGATCAAACAACAGAAGCGAATGAAACAAATTAAGAAAATAATAATTTTTATTTAATATCTTATTTTGTTCATTTGTAATTTGTTAAGGAATGTTCCTGATGATCAATTGATCATTCGAATATCTTATATGAATATATTTGTTGGCATGATCTCGCTCATTAATTTCTCATCATAAATAAAATCATAAAAAAATTTCTAAAATACTTATTACTCTTTTTAAATCTTTCTTTGTCATGGTTACTCATATTAGTCAGATTATGAATATGATTCAATTCATTAAAATAATAATATTTTTCAATAAGATCATCGTGTATGTATCTTCTTTTTGTCTAAATATATAGATCAATGTATTTCCTTTAATCTGAATTCAGTTTCGATGGCAATTATTGATTCAAATATATTGCCTCGAAAAGTTTCAATAATAATTGAATAGGTCTGATGAAAATTTTTGAATATATTTGAATCAAAAATAATCATTGTTTATTTTTCATGAATCAACAAATTCCAGTTGATATAGATTTCTACAATCAAATGATGGAGTTATGCCAAGATTATGTAGAGTGTACAACATCATTATATAAACTCCATTCACTTGATGATGATCGCATTGATGAAATTTACAATTTGATTAAAGCAAACTTGATTGATTCAAAAATACTTTCACCACATAAGCTAATCAATATAATTTGCGAAGTTTACAAATATAACAATCGTTACATACGTTCATATTTTAAGATTCTAAAAAAGATTTTCGATGATTACAAAATTAATCCAATAAGCGTGCTTAACCGTCTTAATTTATATCTTTATTGCAAAGAATATGGCATAAGAATTCATGAAAGCTTCAAATCAAAAGAGTCATTAGATATTCATGAAGAAAACACAATTTACAAAGCAATTATGGATGATGACAAAGATTCATTTGTTGTTTTCACTGAAAGAGAACAATTTGATGAAAATCAAAAGCTAGAAAATTCATTATATCCAGTAAAAACCAATTCATTACTTGAATTATGTTGTTATCATGGTGCTGTGAATTGTTTTAAAATATTAATGACAAAATTTACGTTAGAAATCACAAATTTATGCCTTCATTATTCATTTTTAAGTGGAAATCCAGAGATAATGAATGAATGCTTGAAATATGTAACGCCTGATCAAAAATGCATGAAATATGCAATAATTTCTCACAACCTCGATTTCATTACATTTTTAATGAATAAGTACAACCTCAAGATTGATCCAGAAGATTGCCGTCAAAACAATAATATTCAAGCATTTTTTGTATATGTTAATGAATATAATGATCTCAACAAATGTTTCCCACACTGTTCAGCATTCCAAATCAAATCATTATTCGAGTATTTTCTTTCTCATGGCGTCGATATCAATTCGAAAGATGAAAAAGATGATAAAACTGCTCTTCATTATGCATTAAAATTCAAAGATGATAAAGAATTTATCGAATTTTTAATTTCACGCGGCGCAGATATTCATTTAAAGGATTCTTTAGGAAGAATTGCTCTTTTCTATGCAATAGAATCATCAAATAAAGAATTAGTTGAATATTTAATTTCGCAAGGATCAGATATTAATGCAAAAGATCAGAAAGGCCGTAGTCCTCTTCATTGTGCAGTTACATTCAATAGAAAAGAAATCGTAGAAATGATTGTATCTCATGGAGCAGATCTCAATGCAAAAGACAATTATTTTGAAAATACAGCACTTCATCTTGCAGTCACTTTTAAATTCCCATATATTACAGAATATCTTGTATCACAAGGAATAGACATCAATGCAGTTAATCGTGATGAAGAAACCCCTCTTATGAAAGCAGCTAATAATGGCTCAATAAAAGATGCTGAGATTCTCCTGAAATATGGTGCAGATATTGATTGTCGCACAGTGTTTCAAGAACAAAGTGCAATTCATCTTGCAGTGTTGAAAGGTAATATTGCATTTGTTGAATTGCTTCTGAAGTATGGCTCTAGCTTATATGAGAAAGATATTGATGGAAGAAATGCTCTCCACTATGCTGTTATTAGTGGAAATGATTCTATGCTTGAATATGTAATTGAGCATACAGATGGCATCAATAGACCTGATTATAAAGGAAAAACAGCACTTCACATTGCAGCAGAGCAAGGTTTCCAACAATTAGCAGCAATTCTTATCTCCAACTTGATCAATATTAATTCTATTGATGGAAAAGAAAGAACAGCACTTCATCTTGCAGCAATTAATAATTTTCCTGAATTGGCAGATCTCTTAATATCAAATGGAGCAGATATCAACTCAAAAGATCATAAGGGAAGGACAGCTCTTCATTTGGCTGTATTAAATAACTGTCCCGAAATGTTAAATTTCCTTATAGCACATGGAATTGATATCAATGCTACCAATAATAAAGGAATGACTGCTCTTAATGTTGCAGAAGAATATGCGCTTACATCTTTCATTCAATTTCTTCAATATCATGGAGCAATTCGCTATGAAATTGAATCTGATTCATCTGATTCGTTTTCTGAATATGATTCATAAACTAAAAACATAAAATATAAATAATAATTATGCTTTTTCATTTGAGACTTAAACCATTGGAAGGACAAAATAAAGGCTTATCAAAATCAAAATAAAGGAACATTCACGAAAAGTAACATTCCTATTCTTTTTTCCTAGGCTTACTGATCACATCCATTCTGCTCGTCATACTGGAAATGAAAGAACTGATTGGTAGAGCTTATTTTATTACTCCAAATGGCAACTATCTTGTATAGTACAATTAGTTGAATTGCCAGTTATTCTCCTGTATTATTCAATCTAAATCATATTGCAACAATACTCCTTCATGGAGACAAGAACAAAACTTTCATAATTATCAGAATTGGATTATTTTTTTGAATGAAAATTGGACGATAACAAAAATTATGCTGATTCTTGGAATAGAGAGCAGTGCCAATAAAATTGGTATCGGCATTGTCAAACCTGATGGCACAATATTGGCAAATGTACGTCATACTTTCTTTGGACAGCCTGGAGAAGGTTTTCGTCCATCAGAAACAGCTGATCATCATAGAAAATGGGCCATTCCTTTAATAAAGCAGGCATTTGAAGTTGCCAAGGTCAGTAAGAAAGATATTACAACAATTGCATATACAATGGGCCCTGGAATGGGTTCCCCATTAGAAGTTGGCGCAATTGTCGCTAGAACATTAGCTCAACTCTGGAAATTACCACTTATACCTGTTAACCACTGTGTTGCTCACATCGAAATGGGTAGAGTAGTTACTCATGCAAAACATCCAGTTATTTTGTACGTCAGTGGAGGAAATACACAAATCATTGCTAGAAGTGGCAACAGGTATAACATCTTTGGCGAAACATTAGATATTGCCGCAGGAAATTGCATAGATAGATTTGCAAGATTGGTAAATCTTCCGAACGATCCAGCGCCAGGACTTAATGTAGAACTTCAAGCGAGAAAGAGTACGAACTATATTCAACTTCCATACGTAGTTAAAGGAATGGATGTTTCATTCTCAGGAATTTTAACAGATATTGAAGAAAAAGTAGGCAAATATCCTGTAGAAGACCTTTGCTATAGTGTACAAGAAACAGTTTTCGCAATGCTTACAGAAATTACTGAAAGATGCCTTGCTCATTGCGAAAGTTCTGAAGTTCTCATTGTAGGTGGCGTGGCTTGCAACGAAAGACTTCAAAAGATGATTGGTGATATGTGCGCCGCTAGAGGTGCCACTGTTTGTGCAATGGATGAAAGATATTGTATTGATAACGGAGCAATGATCGCTTATACTGCTTCTTTGATGAAAACACCAATAGAACCATCAAAGGCAAATATTATACAAAGATATAGAACAGATGAAGTTGTTGTTGATTGGGATTAAATAATTTTTATCTTTTTTTGAAAATTAAATGTTTTTTTTACAAAGGCGAGATTAATGTAATGATAATGTTTGATTGCATATTGTTAATATTCCTTGAATCGAATAACGATACAACAAATTTGGCCGGCTAAAATCTGGCAGAATATCCTGGGATGAAATATTCCCAGGATTCAACTATTCTGAATCGTATACTAACAATCACACTGAATTTTCAAGATCAAACAACTTAAATTACTTTGTTTCAAGTTGTTTTTTTCTTGAATTAAGTCCAAATGGTGCTGTTCGAATTGAAACAACGAATGATGATGTTAACACATATGCAGAAACAAATAAATTCGAATCATGTTCCTCCGGATCACAAGAAGGAGGTTCTCTCTTCTTTTCTGGATTTGGCCAATTCGTTCAAACATAAAATTCATTCATTAATTCAACAAATTCAAATGATGGACCTTCATTTTACACAGACGTTTCATCAAAATCAAATTACAAAAATCATGCTAATGAAACTTTAGTTTACAACTGCGGCAGTTCAGAACAAGACTGCACAGTTACAACTCACATGTGTGATGGCTTTATAATCATGAATGAATGCAATATTACACAAAATAGAGTCACAGGAGATACTGGAGGTTATTGTGTAGATAGAATTAACTCTAATTCATATATAACTTGTGTCAATGTCATTGAAAACAATCAAACATCCGCTAAATTAAATTTTCACTCATGTCCTTCAAGATCATCATTTCCACCAATTTTTAAAGTTACTTCATGTAATTATATAAGAAATAAAAGTTCACATCCAAATAATGGTTATCTGATTTTTTCTAGATATTCTAATGTTTTCATGAGTTATTGTTGTATTCGTGAGAATGAAATTCCTTACATTTTTTATGCAGATTCATGTACAATAACATTTGAAAATTCAACAACAGATAACACTACATCATATGGATATCAAATTTCACCAATATTTAAGAACACAGATATTTCATTTGAAAACGATTGCCCTCTTTTGAAATTAGATTTCGCAGAATCACCAAAATATAAGTATCGTCATAACGCTCCAAATAATGACGAAAACGAAGAAGAAAATAATGTTTATGTTCATAATCATGTTAAATTTTTCTTTTTGTTCATGACTAGTAAACGATTTAAAAGTAAAATATAAGATAAAGTGCATCCAAAATACCATATCAAGAATACCCATCCTCTCCATAGTGCCACATTTTTTTAGACATCTAATTGTGAATTTGAAAATGGAGATGATGGCGTCAACATGCTTAAGATCAATTAATCATGAGTTTTATGCATGGAATTCTTTATTTTACGTTTCATCTCAAAAAATATGAAGGCAATGGCCATATTTTATATGATAAAAATTAAATAACATATAAAACCATGATATTTGGTATGTGATTCAAGCGAAAATAATTTTGGCGGCTTTTGTAATTTTTGAAATGGAGGAGGAACCTCGGCCTATTCATCGCGGAAAGAAACGGAGGATTCCTCTTTCTAGTGGTGCAGCTCGTCCACCGGACAATAGCTCAGATAAAAGCGAATCTCAGAAGAAACAAAGAAGGAAAAGAAATTCTTGGCTGAGAGAGATACATTTTTATCAAAAAACAACAAATTTGCTGATAAGAAAGCTTCCTTTTTGCCGTTTAGTTAAAGAAATCACTCAAAGTGTTTCAATTGGCGAGTTTCGATATACAACTGGTGCAATGGAAGCTCTTCAAGAAGCAAGTGAAGCTTTTTTGATTAAATTGCTAGAAGATGGCCAAGTTTGTGCAATTCATGCAAGACGAATCACTCTTATGAACAGAGATCTTCAATTAGCTCAAAGACTCCGCGGAGATCGCTGAAAATCAATTTACATATACTAGTTAATATTTATTTCCTGCTTTCCTGTTTTATTCGAAAAATAACAGATTTGATATTTTAAATAAGTTCAATTTTTCGGCTTAATGTCTTGTCTTCAATTACTCCTTACTAGTCTCATTACTGATGTTCATACTTTGTCGAGACAATTATGTTAGTGTAAATATTTTTTTTTGATTATATTTAAAAATACTTTTTCTTAATAACCAGATATGGAGACATATCAGCTGAGATATTAAGTGTTAAGTTATAATAAAAAATGAATTTGCCATAGACATAATTAAAATAATAATAATATGAAGGCTAGAAGATAACAAAGTATTTGAATTCCACTGAGATTTACTATTATGGTCTCAAAAGAACTCATCCAAAACATACAACCAAGTTAATCTAACATGATATTACTTTGGGAAGTTAGATTTTTTTTGTTCTAAGCTTTGGATGACATCTAACTATCTTTTGTTCTCGTTTAGGATATTTTTTATTTATTTTTTGTATGAATGAATTTGAAGCAGAGTAATTCTCTTATTACTATTCTGCTGAATTTCATAATATGCACATTGGTTATTTGCAATATAGCACTTCTGTTTCACAACTTTTCTCTCAACATTTTCAAAAAACGAAACATTATTACTAAGCCAATCTTATTGAATTCTAGTTACACAAAGAAAATAGAAGTATCAACTCCAAAATCCCTTGACTTCGAAGAAACACCACGTCATTTGCCCCCTCCACCTCAAGATATTAATTATACAGAAAATGAGTTAGAAGAAGCGATAGCTGGACTTCATATCCCTACATGGTCGAGATCATACGTCAAATGCGATGATCCTCGTAGTGAAGTTACATGCACACAAGTCGTTTTAGCATGGAGATGTTTAAATTCATGGGCCAAGTATATAGAAAGTACAAAATTCGAAGACAGAAATCACTTTATTATGCAGCATCTTTACGATGGTGTCGGAAATAGATTCTCAACTGATACAACTACGTTTATTATCGCATTAATGTTAAATCGATCATACATTATGGAATCATCCTATCCTCAAGGTAACAAGATGGTATTTGGACAAGCGTTCGAGTTCCATCCAGATGTTCTTATGAGAAAAGATGAAGTAGATGAATATTTTAAGAGAGAAGGAGACAGAATACGCTCTAATATACAGACATTTGATTTATGGTACTTATACGATTACAATGTTGAGAATAAGAAGAAGATTTTATACGTAGATTATTTATTATATGCAACAATGGCATATACTCATAACCAACTGTCTGAATTTTCACGTAAGAACTTTGGTATGCATGCAGCATACTTTGTTTGTAATTTCCTTATGAGACTTCCGCAGAAATCTATTGAAAAAGCGAAGAAAACGTTCGAAAAAGTTCCAGCTGGCTATAGAATATTCGGAGTACACCTTAGATTCCAACACGCCGGCCAATTCTACTCCCATAATATCACTAGAACGCTAGAAGTTGTAATTCCGTTTTTAAAGCGGAAACTTGAAGAGAAACCTACAATTTTTGCATTCGCAAGTGACTCATCTAAGATGGAACAAGAGTTTAGGAAGCATTTCGGAAAGCATATGATAACTGTTGACACAATTCGAATTGCAGATTACGACCATGACTCGGCTTTGAACGATATCGCGATGCTTGAGATGTGCGATGAGTGCCTGTTATCCTATAGATCAACTTTCTCTTACGTTTGCGCAATGAGAATGGGAAAGAGAGCTTGGTTCGTTGAAAAAGAGGCCGACCATGTTTTCCAGGCTTCAAATTCACAGGCCACAGTGGTTTCGGCACTTTTCCATAACTGGGATGTAAATGATTGGCAATTAAATAGAAGAGTTCATGTAAATGAGCGAAATGAAGAAGCTCTTAGATACTATTGCAAGTATTTCCTTGTATAGAGTAAATTGTTATTTAATTATTTTGATTTCAAAAATAATATTCAAATTCGCTTTCAATAAATACCAATATTCTAATCAAAATGACATCAAATTAATAATATTCTTGTAACCTTATAATGAATTATAAAATAATTTGATATCTCAAAATTATTTAAAAGATAATAAGAAGAATTCCTTATTTTTATAACAAGCGGTGGTGTTTATGTACATTTTTGAAAGAATTTAATATATATCTATGGAATTAAATTTCTGAATTTTCTTCAAGAATCTTCTTGATTCCGAATAATGTTTCCTCACGGAGATTTGTAATATCTGTATCAATCGACTCGTTTTGAACGACTTCAGGCTGGATTTCTTTAATTAAAGCGAAAATTTTATCAATAACCTCATCGCTTTGAATATTTGACACTTCATCTGCAATCTTCTTCTTCTCTTCATCAGTAAATTGTGACATATGAATAGATTCAGAAGCAGCTCTTGGAGGTAAGCTTGGAGGTGGTGGAGGTTCAACAGCTTCTTCAGCAGCCTCTTCTGGAGCAGGCTCAACATGAGTATGTCTCGCTGGTGGCTGTGAATTTTGACGCTCAATTGGTGGTTTCGATCTTGAACGAGATTGTTTAGGAGGAGGAAGGATTGTTTCCTCCGTATATACGGAATCTGATTTTCTTTGTCTGAGGGAATATGATTTAGGCTCTTGTGGTTGAATAACTTCGAAAACTCCGATTGATTGTTTGATTGCGTCGGTTTCCATGCACCAATCTATAATTTCATTGCCTGTAAGGTATTGCGTGCATTCAGCGAATACTTTTTTGAGTTGTTTAGCCAGATTCGAGATTAATTGATCTTTTCCGTTATATTTAAATAAATTTTCCCAAATTAAATTTACGTCTCGCTTGAAGTCTTCTGGTGTGCTATACTCATCGTTAAGTAATTTCTTGCGAACTGTACTTAAATCCATCGGATGATCGATAATTTGAAAATAATTTGAGCAGTTATCTCTAACTGGATCGACGGGACGAGAAAAGAACGATGAAATTTTATATCCTTCGATCTTTTCCAGCGCTTCCAGGCAGCGCCGCCTATGGTAATCTGTCATTGTCAGCATCTTGAAAAAAAATTAGAAAACAATCAAAAAAAAGTTTTTTTTATGATGAAAATTGGATTTCAATTTGGATTGCGAAATTATAATTTTCAGCATTAACTCTATCTAATTATCCAAAAACAAGGCTGATATTAAGACTATTTCGAATTTTGAAATGTAAAAGATCAGCTTGTTTGGCCGGACTAGAAAACATTATCTATAACAGGCTTTCCAAGTCTAAAAATTTTATATCTAATAAAATCGAAATTTTTATTACGTATTGTTTTGGATAATGAACATCGAAATCCAAGTAGATTAGTCTTAGCTTTGATCATTTTTCATTTGATTAACTATATGCTTACCTCGATCTTCAAATCTCAATCTAATATCAGAAATAATTTAACATGCTTTGGATTTCATTATACGTATAGACTAAATAAGCGATTGGTCATGTTTGCTTTTCAAAATACAATCATTCCAAAATGTCAAATCAAATTTTCAACAATGCCTTAAATTTCAAATGAGGAACATTAAGTATTATAAGGAAACATCCCGAAAACATCAGAAAATCATCATATAACCTATAATTTTTTTGAGAATAAAAATAAAAAAAAAATTCAAAAAATAATGCTTTCTTTATTCTTAAGAACAACATTATCAATCCCAGGTCTCCCATTAAGTGATGCCTATCATTGGGGATATGCAAATCCATCAGCAGAGTATTGGGTTCAAGGAAACAAAAAAGCATCAATTGTCATTATTTTGCCAAAAAACTTGACAATCAATTTGGGACTAAAGATGCGTGAATACGATGCTTCCAACTTCACTGATATCAAAAACACGGTCACAACACGTGGAAATGAAAAAGATCCAATTTATTCAACAATTACTCTTGAACCAGGCACTGACAAACCATTTGTTTTCAAGATGACTGTTCCTTCAACAAAGGAAGAACCTTTTATGATCATGTATACTCATAATGCCCCTGTTTATAGATTATCTGCAGCATTAGGAGGTTTTACATTGTTCATTGCATTATTCCTCTTCGTTTTCGGATGGGCTATATTCTGTGGAGCATGCAGAGCTACACGTAAGCGTTAATGTCACTTGTAAATTCAATTTTTTTAGATTATTTTATTAAAGTTCTTTAAACAAAGCTTAAATATAGTACCTTTAATTGATTTTAATAGTGTAATGGAAATACTTACTCGTTTTGACTGTTTTTTACTCTTTTTCGATTGATATCGATACAAATTTAAAAATTTTAACAATTTTGGAACGAATCGATATAAGGAAGCTTGCTATGAAATCATTTATTGCATTGAGTATATTTATTTGAATGTTAATTTCATTTTGGAATTTTTTGAAATTAAATTTGAAGAAAATCAACTGGATATGCAAATAAAACGAAACAAATAAGAGAATTATGACTATCTGAATCGATAAAACTATCAATTTCCCTTTGAAAAATTGAAAAATTCAATTTTCATGAATAAATTGATGGGAATTGTTTGAGAGTGCTTCAATCATAATTGCTATTGATAAATTGTGACTCGTAATGAGAATTGAAGCCCAAATAAAAATATTATTTTTTTGATCAAAAAAATTGTTGGGTAAAATGTAATTAAATCAATTTCATTGTTCAAAGCCAGCTCGGAGGTATTTTTATAACGTATTGTTCGGGAATAACTTGTTGTCCGTATCCTTCTATATCTAAAGTGTATCCTCTAGTTTCACTTTGTGCATCTGCAGGTGTATAGATTACTGTGGCTGGATAAAATATATGTGAATGTTCAATATGAGGCAAAGCAAGCACTTTTTCAGTTCTTGTGAATTCCCATCGCTTTGATGGCTTCATAGGTATTATAACAGGCAATGGTGTCCATTGTTCGCTAGTTAAAGTAACAAGTTGTGGAGTTGGATTTGGATCATAAGGATCGTAAGCATCAATTGAAGTTTCGTTGACATTGTGTATAATCATGAGCATGAAATTAGTATTGTTTTTGAAGCAAATGAACATATTTGGAAATAATTTTTTGATTTTATAGGCAAAACAGCCACAATGTGTGGGAATTGGTGAACCTACATACTTTGGCTTTCCGAAATAGAATGAAAATAGTAATGCATCTACTTCAAATTTCTGAGGAAGTCTCTCTTCTGCTGATAAATTGCTCTTTTTCTGTGCTATTGCAGAACCAACAGATGATATTGATTCTATAATATGCTCAATTGATTGTTGAAAAGATTCATCGATCTTTTTATAAAAATTATCACAGTCTGTTGCAGAAGTTGTTGTTGGTTGCTTATTGAATTGTTCTTCTATGTTCATAGCTTGCTTTGTAGCTATATCGAGATTGTGTATTGCCAAAATAGTTTCTTTTAGCTTATCAATTGGAATTGAATTTTGCATTGTGAATTTTAGATTTGACATATATAAGGCATCATACTAAAAAATTAGTTTGAAATTTAAAATCAAACAGAAAATATGGGATATTCGTATAAGAAATAATAAATTTAATATTTATTTAACACATTTTTTAATATTGAACACCAAATATGCTCATATACAAGAAATTTTGTTTATTCATTCAGTTGAAATGCTAAAATCATCCGTTCGATAAAATAAAATTTTGCAATTGATCGCTTGATCTAAGAAATTTTCAAAATCAACTTTTCTTGACTTACAAACAATGTATAAATCGAAATGTAAGTTTGGATTGAATTTGGGGGTTTTGACAATTACTAAGAAAAAATGGTTGATGTGAATGAAACCGAGAATCCTGAATCCATGCGCAAGATCTTCAAGATACTTGTTGTTGGTGAAATGGGTACTGGAAAGACTTCATTGCTTCGTAAATATGTCGATGGCGTTTTCTCAGAATACTATAAAACAACAATTGGCGTAGATTTTGCTAGTAAAGATATCAAGTGGGATGATAAAACGAACGTTAGTCTTCAATTATGGGACATTGCAGGTCAGGAAAGGTTTGGTTCAATGACTCATGTTTATTATCAAGAAGCTGTTGGTGCCCTTCTCGTTTTTGATGTTATGAGACATCAGACTCTTGAACTTGCTATCCAATGGAAGAAGGATATCGATTCTAAAGTATTTACTTCTCAAGATAAACCAATTCCATGTTTACTTTTAGGAAACAAGATAGATCTTGCCGAAGATGGTAAATGGGGTAAGACAGAAGAAGAAATGAAGGCTTTCTGCGACGAACATGGATTTATTGGATTCTTTGAAACATCTGCAAGAACAGGACACAATCTTGAAGAAGCTCCAAGAGCTCTCGTCAAATATATCATCGAAAATAATATCGAACCATTCTCAGAAGGACATGGTGTCGATCTTAATTCCTCTAAAGAGAAAAAGGAGGGAGGCGGTTGCTGCTAACTTTACTACTTCAAATTATTTCTATAATTGAAATAATTTAATATTTTTTTTTCTATTTTCAATACTAAAAGATATTCTAAATTAAGTTAAATTAATTATTAATTTTAAAGACAAATCTATCACCTTTTATGATTTTCGTGTCATTACGTTTGAAGCATTTGATTATTTTGCTGATTTCCGTTTAATGATTATCGAAGACTCTCTTTCATCTTTACGCATAAATAGCAGCATATCATTAAACAAATCCACTTGTTGAGTTGCTTATATTTGAAACTGTATTCTCATATTTGAGCAATTTGGGGTTTACTGAAATAACAACATTTCTATGCTTTAGTTATTCTAGTTCTTGCATAAAACTGTTACCGGTTGCATTTATCAACTAAGTCTCAAAAAATATGTTGGAATTTAGAGAAACAATTGAAGAAGAGTAGCTTTCTTTGTAGTTAAAAATCATAACAAAAACAACTAGTTTAAAATCAAACAAAAGAACAAAACAAACAAATAAATTAATAAAATCTATTTCTTGAATTAATTCCAGGAAGTGATTTTCCTGATTTTGGTCTAGCAGAGTTAGACCTTGATCCTGGCTTGACTGTTTTAACGACAGAGAACCATTGATGATTCAACGCCTGTTCAGCAGTAATTCTTTTATCGTGATCCCATTCTAAACATTTTTGCAAGAAATCAATGAAAACTGGGTCATGGAACTTAGTCGCCGCTCTCAAATTTGATTGGCCTGGCATTCTAAGTTTCTTTCTTCTGTTTCTCAATAATGGTTTGCCGTCATGTGAAAAGAATTCATTCTTTCTTTTCGCTTGGTTGATGATCGAAAGAGGAGGAACTCCAAGAATTTCCATGATCATCTCTAATTGCTCGTGCTCGTTTTCACCTGGGAAAATTGGCCTTCCTATCATCATCTCTATGATAATACAAGCGAATGACCAAATGTCCATTGGTGGCCCGTATTTGATGCCTAAAATGACTTCAGGAGCACGATAAAACCTGCTCTGAATATATTCGTATTTTTGATGTCCGATAAAGCATGATGATCCGAAATCGATGATTCGGCAGTTCATTGTTGAGTTTTGAGTCAAAAGAACGTTTTCTGGTTTCATATCGCAATGAACAATTTTATTTTTATGGCAAAAAGCTAAACCCGTGAGGATGTGTTTAGCAATTGCATGTATTTGATGCAATGTCATAGGTTGGAAACGAATCGATCTACTGTACTCGTATAAATTCATTCCGAGAATTTCAAACGAAACAGCAATGTGTTGTCTCCAAATAAAAGCATCGAATGTGCGTACTATATCACTTGTCCTATCTGGATCGAGATCGTTTAAACGCTGAATGATAGCAACTTCGATCTTTCCTTGCTTATGCATTTGTTCAGTATTGATAACAAGCTTTATTGCTACTTGCTGCTTCGTTTTATGATCAAAACATCTGAGAACCTGTCCAAATGCGCCTTTACCAAAAACTGCACGAATTTCAAAGCGATAAGCTAAATGATCTCCAACAATTGCTTTATAATGATGATTTGAATCATCGAATCCGTAATTATTTGAGCCAGGTGTTGGCTTTACCCGTATTTTTTTAGAAGGTATTCCTAGATAATAAATTTCCGGAAAATTATGAATTTCGGATAATTCGTACGTTGTCAGCATTGAAGAATAACTTGCTTTTGCCTCTTCTGGTGTGATTGGTGCATTAGGGATGATTGGAGAAATGGCGGGTTTTCTTGCAGTTCTTGGAGCATGCGAAAATCTTGGATTAGTACTTTGTGGTGCTTTAGGTCCATATACACGAGCTGAATTTAATGTACCATCTCCATTATTTTTTAAACTTTCAAAAGTTAGCTTTGGAACTGGCGGTCTGACGCGTTTATCTTGTTGGGGAGGCTCTACTGGTAAGTATTGAGGCTTATTTTTATATTGTATTTCAAATTCAAGCATATCAATAAAAGCAAAATCTTCAAAAATAGAAATTCAAACTTATACAAAAAAATTTCTTTGCAACGTATTACTCGGAATTTTTTATCTGAGTTTTAGACAACCATTTAAATATATATATATATATATATATATCACCATTTAATACAAAGGATATAAGGCTTCAATTGATTCAAATTAAATCATTATTGAAACAAATGGATCTTCCTGTATTGGTTTAATGATATTTCGATATCAATATTTATTCACACTTTGCATATAATCTAAAATATAAATATGTTCATTAATAGGAAAATTATATTATGAATATTATTATTCAATGGAATTATTGCGATTATCTATATTCTAACACTCTTGCTAGCTAGTTGTAACAATTGATTTACAAGTGAAACTTTATTTTAAGTGAATCTGCACATGCATTAATAGATCAAATTAACTGCATGCGTAATAATTGCATTCACTGGCAACTAATGGCATAGTGAATTAATTCATTGGTTTGTATTTTGTATTTTAAAAAGATATTTTGCATTCCTTTGCTTTGAAAATGTATTGAATATCATTCTCATGAATACCACAATAACTCATGAATACAATAACAATTGCTTTATTAACTTTTCTAATCTGACACTTCACACTATTGATAGAAAAAATAATAGCATTTTTTTCTTTATTTCAAATTTCGTCAAAGAATCAATATCGAATATTTATCGTCGTCTTGAGAAACAAGGAGATTTAAATCATTTACATAAAACTAACCATCTTTCATCATTAGATTGAGGTGACCTTGTGAAATGAGAACAAGTATTTTCAAATGAAATGTCAGTATTGATTAATACTGGCGGATTTCCTAATCCATATGATTTATTGCAATATGTTGTTGAATCTTCTAAGTATACAGTTTCTGTTTTTGTATGAAAAATTATATTAACGTGATTCTCAAGGATACAACAATAATGCATGAAAACATCCTAATAATTTGTATAGATCAGACGACCTATTCCTCTTATTCGATTTTTGACATAATAACATGATGTAATCTTAATATAATTGATCGATATAATAAAAATGAAGTTGGAAATTGATCTCTTGGGAAGATCCATTGTTATCAACGACATTGACATAAGTTAGGTATGAATCTGAGGTAAAACTTTCTACCCAATAACCGGCATTATCTTCATTAACGATATTATGTGTAATATTGTGTTTATTCATAATAATAAAACCAAATTCCATCATTGTCATAATTCTGCATTTTCTTTCTTTAATTCCGCAATCAAAAACAATAGTTTCATTAGCATGATTTTTATAATTCGGTTTTTGCGGAAATTATAACATCAGGAGTAATTCCTTGGATTTTTTTGTCGACGGCAAGCCATTCTGTTATTCTCCTTGGATTTAAAAAACATTCTAAATTTCTAATTATAGTTTGTCCGATTGAAGCGATGGCATTAATAAATTTCATTATAACAGTTTACTGGAAAATGTGGATGATTACTAAGAATTTGAAAATATTTATTTGGCTTGTTTAAGTTATTTGATACTTATTATACTGAAATTATATTGTTTCTAAATTAAGGAGACCTAAAGTATAAACTCAATTTATATCAATAGCTCATATCGAGATGCCTCAAGAAGAAGATTTGTTGTATACTCTTTTTATCGTCTGCGATAAATTTTCCAAAACTTGTCGAATTCATCAGTCTTGTTTTGAGAATTTGAATGAAGACATTTATCTTTTAATGAATCGAGGAATTCTATTTTCAAAAGATGACAATAGTTTTCAAATGAAATATCTGTGTTCTTAAATATTGGTGAAGTTTGATATCCATATGATGTAGTGTTATCTGTTGTTGAATTTTCAAATGTTATTGTAGAATAATATGCCCAAAAAATGTTAGGAATTTCATTCTCACGAATACAACAATAACCCATGAAAACATCAGAAGACCTAGAATTAATCAGATAACCATCATTTGGACTTTTATTTCTTATATAATTACCTGAAGTAACTTTAAATATTGATGAATATGATGAGTGCCAATTAAATTCATTGTATGTTTGATTGTTTTCAATGACATTGACACAAGTTATGTATGAATCAGAGGTAATTGATGCTGTAAAATAACCTCCAGTATCTTGTTTGACTCTATTTTGTGTAATATTGCATTCATTCATGATTATAAAGCCATAAAGCATGAATGTAGTAATTCCGCAGACTTGTTCTGAACTGCCGCAGTTGTAAACTAAAGTTTCATTAGCATGATTTTTGTAATTTGGTTTTTCTGAAACTTGTATGGAAAATGAAGTTCCAGCATCTAAATTTGTTGAGTTAATGAATGAATTTTTTGTTTGAACAAATTCACCTTGTTCTCCAAAGTAGAGAGAGCCTCCTTCTTGATATCCAGATGAACATGATTCGAATTTATTTGTTTCTGTATATGTTTTAGCATCATCACTTTGTAATTCAATTCTGATAGCACCATTTTGACTTAATCCAAGAAAAAAAAACTTGAAACAAAGTATTTTAAGTTGTCTGATCTTGAAAATTGACTGCTTTTGCATATATGTCCTTCGTCATATTGGTATCCTGGGAATACGGATTCCCAAGACATTGGCAAAGTCAAAAATTTTACACTTCACTGAAAAAGCTGCAGAAGACAAAAAAAATCTTGCTGAAAAATGATAGAATGACTATAAATACCATATTTTTCTAGTATGAATTATTTGAGATAAATTAAAATTATTTGAGAAAAACTCACTTCAAGAATGAGGTTTCTGAATACTTGAGCTAATATGGAAATATTTCATGCATATTTAACCATTTGACGTGCGATATTGGCTGCGAGTCATAATTTTTGAAATCTTTGGATTTAATCAGCTGATATTTGGTTCAGAAGTTACATTCAGATAAGATATCATACTAGTCTTATAAATGTAGCATTCGTGTGATATGATCTAGTTCAGGTGACTCGTACAAAAAAAAATGTGAAATGAGGAAGTAAAATTGAGGAGGATGTTTTATTGTCGTCTGGGAAAAGTGACAAAATTATTATTGTCGTCTAAAAGGTGACAAATTATTATTGTCGTCTGGAAAAGTGACAAAATTATCATTGTCGTCTAAAAAATAGATTTTTCAAGCATGTTTCGGTACCTAAATAAAGGAAGAACATCAATTCCATCTATGTATATAGTATGCAAACACGCATGATATATGGAGTAGCTCTTTATCTGGCTAAAAATCCTATTATTTGAAAATTCGCATTGTCGTCTAAAACCGCCAGACGACAATAATAATACCCCAAAATTGAGAGTCAAAAGGAAAGTAAAAAATTTTGATAAAGAGGAGATATAAATTTAATGTATTACTTACGACATTGTTCAATTTATTTTTGTAATCAATGTTGTCTAAAATGAAAGAAATAGATTTGCCAAACGTGATTAATTTTCTTTCATTTCAGATTGCATATCTTACAATTCAATATTATATCATTATTCCATCATTTAAAATTTCGACAAGGTTTATTCAAAATGGGTTTGATTGGTTCGCAAGATGCAGCATTAGATCATTTAAACGTACTTTTTACTGAGAATCTAATGTTGGAAAGTCCATTTTTCGACGATTTATTCAAATACAAAATAGATTCATCGAAAGAAAAAACCATCAAAACTAAATTTTCCGAAAATTTCGAAACAAATATCGAAACCTTCAAGGTATTATATCAAAGATGTAGCCTATCATTAGAAAACATTTACAATTCTCCAGAATCGAACACAAAATCGTTTTCAACAGAAACAATTGTGATTATTCTTGAATTTGTGATCTCTCTGGCATCAAAATCAACCAACCCAAAAGAATTTCTTTCAATTAATTTAAAAGATGATTTTACTATTGCAGATTCTTTAATTAGCTTATTTCTTCACGAAATTGATATTCTCTATGATCCAAATGATACAAATCCTCCTAAACGGACAGACAGAGAAATACTTGGTATTATTAGAATACTAACATATCTTAAATTACAACGATTTAAAGTACCACATCAAAATTATATTAATTTTGTTAATTACGCACTTTGTAAAACACATCAAGTCTTTCTTTCTCCATCAGGAAAAGGTCCTTCTTATGAAATTCAAGTTAATATTTCTCAAACTTCATTAATTCTCATTCTTTTGTTGAAAATCAACATCCCTCTTCTCAAAATCAAATTCATCAGCTTGTATCAACCATTTACAGACACTTCATCTTTCAAATACAGAAATGAAACCATTTATTTACTTGTTGTCTGTGCATTAAACATCAAATCAGCCATCAAAGATATTATTAAGAAGAAAGGATTCGTTGTTTTCACTAATTTACTTAATATTCTCGATACAATTCATTTATCTAATTTTTCACCATATATTATGTATATTATTATGCGTTCTATCGATTCGAAAACATTCACACAACAATTTAATCTCCCTTTCTCATCAAACAAATCATTTAATATTCGTTTTCACCGAGGAACATATTTAGATGTTACAAACGAGATCATTTGCAAATGTTTATCAGATAACAAGAACTTATATGACTTTGCAATTCCATCCATTGCAAAATTAATCCTCAACGCGAAGAATATTTCGTATTTCACGGCAATGACAATTCTTGACTTGATATCTGCTACGAAATCCCTTCTTTTAATTAATTGTCTTCATTATACAATCAACAATGGCATCAGATCAAACATTTCTTTGATAATTGTGATGATGAAAAAATCAAATATCTTTTTCCAGTTGCAAAAACTGTATCCGGACTCACAAGAAGTTAACTCCATTGTTGTAATGCTCAAGAATATCAATACAGAGTTAAAACAAATAGGAGATAACTTTACAGACGTATTTCTTGAAAATTTCTTCCAAGATCCCACTTGTGAGCATTTTGCTAACCCTGTTTTAAGAGTTCCTTCGACAGAAATGAAAGTTCAACTTCATCATTTCGAATTTTTTGGCAATTTAGCCAAAATTAACTTAGAAATGACTGAATGATTTCATTTTTTCATGTTTAGTAAACTGTCTTGTTATATACTACATTGCTATATAATTTTTATAATAATAAATACGAATTATTAGGAAATTTAAAATAAAATCTAATATTCAACAGAAAATATATCACTCTATCCCATTATATCATATTATGCTTATTATGAACTTCATATTGCATCAAAACATAATATTTACTGTAAATAGCTTTATTGAAGATAAACCTTTCTGATTGGAAAGTAATAAGTAATGCCAATATTATATTTAAACAGTTTTACAATATATATTTAATAAGTTTTCTTCAAAATCTGAAATAAATTAGATTTCATTTTTATAATTTGGTTTTTCTCCTTACAAATATGTTAAAAATGGAAATTTGGAAAGCAACTATTTAAATTATGGTAAAATGAAGTTAGTTTTGAACAATGAAAAATATAATAATATAATAATGAGAAGAATGAAATAAATCTAGCAACAGCTAGATCCTTCCTTTTTCTTCTTTGGAGGTATAACGTCTACTTGGACTTTCTCTATTGATGAATAAGCAATTTCTGCGACCGCTCTAAAAAGATCATTTATTTTAGCGCCAGTCTTAGCTGATGTTTCCAAATATAGTGATGCGTTAATTTCTTTTTGATATTCTTTTGCTGTTTCGATATCAATTTGTCTATCAGTTAAATCGCATTTATTTCCAACGAGAATGATCTTAACGCCATTTCCTGCCTTCTCTTTAAGCATTGTAATGAATTCAGGAAGTGCTTTAAACGAATTTAAGTTGGTAATGTCAAAAACAGCAATGGCAATCGATGCTCCAGTAAAATACATTTGTGTAAGAGAACGATATCTCTCTTGTCCAGCTGTATCCCATATGTTCAACGAAATTAGTTCGCCATTAACTTCAACTTCAATGCAGCAATTTGCTGCGCCAACTGTAGCCTTTGCACGCTCAGGAAACTCACCCACTGAGGCTCTCTGAGCAATACACGTCTTGCCAACATCTGCTTCACCAACAATAACAACTTTAAATCTCATAATTTATCTAAATTACTATTTTTTTGACATGTAAAATGATCAGATAAATAAAGATTTATCTATGCCAGCGGATGATATTGAATGTTGAAGAATATTGAACGAACAAACGATGAGTTTAAGTCATTTACTATTATCCCATCATATTTTCGCATATCTTTGTTCAATTTTAATAATTATTTTCCAAATTTAAGTAACAACTATGATCAATAGGTCGGCTAATTCTATGTAAGTGAAATTTATCCTCCGATATATGATAAATTGAAGGTTAAAAAAAATTTAAAAAAAATATCAAATGAAATCTAGAGAATTCTTAGTATATATGATTATGCTTAAGCTAAGCGTAAATAAGATAAAATGATTTTTTAAAATTAAAAACAAAAATGGATGAAAATTATTTTCAAGGATAAATGGAGTAACTTTGAGAACTGACATGAATTGTAAGATCATACTTGCTGAATTTGCTTAATGGTGAAGTATTATCCGTGCAAATGGAAATATGTTTTCCTTTGACTGCACTTGAGACATCGCATGCCACAAATTTTACTGGGATTCCATATCTCTGGAATTCTGATGTAGTGACAACAGAACGCATTGGAATAACATCAGTATCAACGCGAAGAGAAACGTATTTGGACTTATAGTTTAAATAGTCTTGGTATGTGTAAAGTTTGTTGCCAAGAATATCTTGATTATCTTCTGATGAATCGACATAATACCCAGAAACCCTCATTCCGCTCATATCGGAGTTTGTGGCTGCTTCTGGAATGGTGTAAATTTTTTGTCTGCGATTGTATGAATGTCTGTGATTTCTGCATGAAGCAAGAGAGAATAAAAATCCATGGCAAATTTCGGTTAGAAATAAGGTTTTGACAGAAAATTCAATACAATAGTTTCAACTTAGTTAGTTAAATGAAATTTAACCGAGGTTTTATAATTCAGAAAAGATTTTGTAAAGCTATCAATTTTTTCGTGGTTTTAAAAATTGATTTGATATGTATTTTTTTCTGATTCATTAATCATTGCTTATTAAAAACAATAAATAAATCGATGATAAGTTTATCGACATGATCGGGACAATATAAACTTATTTTTATGGTCGGTGGCTACATGTTTTTCTTCAAATACTCCGCATCCAACTTGAACTGCTTCGATATTGACTAACAAGGCTCATAAATGCACTGCTCGTCAAAAATATTTAACAAGATTTTAAAACAAAATTTACTTCAAACACCTTTACGAACTATATTTAACGATTTATTGATATATTATAGTAATTGATGATGTTCCATGCCTATATGCCAGCTACGGGTAACAAATAATGCTATTTCAGGAATATATGGTCATGATACATGTTCGATTCAAAGTGATGTAATAAATGATAGCATCACAGAACTATGGTCAATACCAAATCTTGTTGATATTGCAAATTTCTCGAATTTTGTTAAAATTCGAAAAATTCCCAACAGATTATTTGAAGAGCATTATAAACTGATCCAAATAGTATTTCCACCAAATCTTATAGAAATTGGTATCAATTCATTCGCCAATTGTTATAATTTGATAGGAACAATTGATTTATCAAATCTAGAAATTCTTGATTGGGCTGCTTTTTATAAATGTTATAGTTTGAATGGAACTATCAATCTTCCGAAAGTGAAAAATATTGGAATATGTGGATTTTATAGATGTTACAATTTGACTGGATCGCTTAATTGTCCATATTTAGTATCGATTAATAATAGTGCATTTTGTAATTGCTATAAATTTACAGGACCAATTAACTGTCCTAATTTAGAAACTATTGAATGGGAAGCATTTTGTAATTGTTATAGCATGACTGGACCATTGAACTTGCCTAAGGCAAAATTCGTTAGTATTAGTGCATTTTATAATTGCTATAAATTGACTGGACCAATTGACTTTCCTTTATTGGAAACTATTGGTGAAATGGCTTTTTATCAATGTTATGATTTAACAGGACCTTCACATTTACCTAATGTAAAAGCTATTGATAGTAAAGCATTTTATCAATGTTTCAATCTAACAGGTTCAATTGATTTACCTAATTTAGAATACATTAATGATAGTGTGTTTTATGAATGCCACAGTTTAAACGGAATCATAAATCTTCCAAAATTGAAACAAAATTATATTAGTGATTATTTATGTTATTGTTGTTATAATTTAACTGGCTCAATTAATTTTCCTAATGTTGAATCAATTGGGAATTACGCATTTTACCAATGCTACAATATTAATAGACTTGAAGATATCCATAATGTAATTTCAATTGGAGTTTATGCATTTTACACATGCTATTGTTTAGAAGGATGTATTACACTTCCTAAATTAAAAACAATTGACTCTGCTGCCTTTGATCGTTGCCAAAAATTGACAGGAATAATTGAATGTCCAAAATTAGAAACTATTGGTGCCATCTCATTTGCAGGTTGTATTGTATTGTCAGAACTAAAGCACCTTCCTTCTCTAACAACAATAGGAGATTATGCATTTGATTCTTGTTATAATTTTATTGGGTATCTAGATCCAACAAATCTCCCCAATCTCGCATCAATTGGCTATCAATCATTTTTTAATTGTTATAATTTTCAAGGACCTATAGTTCTTCCAAAATTAATAAATATATCAAATTATTCATTTAAAATTTGTTGTAATTTAACAGGAATAATTGATTGTCCTAAATTAGAATTGATTGGATTTGAAGCTTTTTCGGAATGCCCTAAACTATCGGGTCCTTTACATATTCCCAATATCAAATTGATTTATCCATGTGCCTTTTTTAACTGTGATAATTTAATAGGTACAATTGATTTTCCACATATAGAGTATATTGGTTATTCTGCATTTTTAAATTGTTCAAATTTGGAAAAATTAGTTAGTCTTGGTAATCATTCATCTATTTATCAAGGAACATTTTGGAATTGCAGCAGAATGAAAGGATCTTTCAATAATTTTTCGTTTGAATATATAAGGAGTTATGTATTTTGTAAATGCACAGAAATGCGTGGAATACTTGATTGTAGTAGATTAACAGAGATCACTGAATATTCATTTTCTGGAAGTTCTATTGAAGGACTTATTAATACCGAAAATATAACAATGATTAAACAATATGCATTTTGCAACTGTATATGTCTTTCAGGTTTTATTAATCTCAGCAATGCAATAACAATTCAAGAATGTGCATTTCTAAATGACACTAAAATATCAAGTATCATATTGTGGAATTCACAAGTTGACATTTCATCAAATGCATTTGATCCTTCAGTAAATTTGACTTTGCTTAATCCACTAAACCTCGACAGAAATATTATTTCAAACTATTCTCTTAAGAGTTTCATCATATTTTACTTAGGACTCAGTGACTCTAATAACAAAACAATATCTACCATATATGAATATGCAAATCGGATTTATGTATTATGTAACTATTCAAATGAAACATTTTATGATAGATATGCTTATAAACTATGTCCCAAAAAGAGTATAAATAATCAAAAGAGGAAATTTGTTAAAAAGAGTTTATTTTTAGGTTTCACATGTAATTAATAAAATAAATGATTTAACTTATAAAACTTTAAGATTTAAATGATTATATTTATTCTTTTTCACTGCCAAAGATATATATTTTTTTAATCTGAAGGGAAATGGTATAAAGTAACTCAAAAATATTAAGGCTACACTTACGCCTATCTGACTTTAATTCAAATTTTTGACAGCTGGCGTGATGCGCCATTGATATTTAACCTTAAATAATATAATTGAATGTCATGTCATAATGGTGTAAGTGCATCATTAAATGATTATATTTATTTTTTTCACTTTCAAACATATATATTTTTTAATCTGAATTATGGAGAAAATTTTTTCAAATTATAGAACTATTTGAAATACAATAGAGACCAACACTGATATGGAAGTATAGGATATCAAAGAACCTTTATAATGGTAATACTATGATGAACAAATGCTAAAATCTGACTCGGTTATAATCAAATTTTTGATCTCAGGAAATTGAGGGTATTTTTTTAATATGAACTAAGGTAGTCACAAAATCTAAGTAGTGAGGCTCTCAAAAATTGAACCGTACTCCATACAAAATTTGTGTACCCTCACTACTTAGATTTTGTGGCCTTCAATTGAGAGGTTAGTTTTGATAGAGCACGTTATAAAATTAAAAGGGAAAAATAAATAAAATTTAAACATTTAATTATATATAATGTAAGGAGTGTAATTCCAAATTTTCTAAAAACTATTCAAATTTGAGCATTTTTTTGGAAATAGTAAATCTAATATGTACATCTAATAACAACATGATTCATCACCTTTTCAAGCTCTGCAGTCAATTTTTTGAAATTTGATTGAAATAAATGTAGCAAAAATTACATTTCATTAGGGAATATATGAGTTTCTCTGGAAACAGGCTGATAAATTTTAAATTTTGTCCAATCAACATGAATGCATTGAGAAATTTGGATTGATTTTCTGGTAGAATCTGAAACAATTCAACCATGTATAAATGGATCATGTAATCATCATGAAATGTTAGTGTTAGAGTTCAAAAGAAACAGAATGAGTGGAAATCAAACACGATCTGAATAATTTTAAACGTATACAATCTTTAAGTTTGTATTTTGAATTCTACATATATGATTGTGTAATTCGTTCTTTCAAATTTTCGGATTCAGGCATGTTTTGATAAAATTCATTCCCAAAAACGTCAATTAACAATTAAATTTAGTGTATTTTAAATATATATACGTATTATATTTTATAAATTATATTAAATTCGCAAAATTTTAAGTTTTAAACAAAAATAAAAAATGTTCAAAATATGAAATTATGCATAGGATATTAAAATTTACATGTTAGCAATCTTTTTGAATTGCTTTCAATTTTCATATTGAAATTTTTAAGATTTTTTTCTGAAATAATAAGCAAGAATATCAACCTAAATAATATTAAATTCCATGCGTTAATTTTCCCTCAAAAGTCATTGACCGCCTCTCAATCTAGATTTTGTGAGTACTTTACGTTTTCACCGTTATGTTCTAATCATGTGCTTGTTATGTTTCGTTAATGTATAGTATTTAATGTTGTTATTAATATGATTTTCGCATATTTTGATTCAGATCTATCAATTAATAGATTCATAATATGAGATTATAGAAATGCAATGATCTTTCGTCAATGAAATTACTATCTGTTGATTAGGAAACTCCATTTGTGATACATAATTCGAATGGAGTTGATGCAAGATATATTTTGTCAGTTTACATGTTTACAATGTCAAATTAGGAATTCGTTAGTTCAATTGAAATGAACACTCGACGCGAGAACTTCAGAAAATATCTCGAGACAGGCGATGTAATCGAAGCGTTAACTAGTGCTATAGTTAATTTATATGAACAACCAGAACCTCCAGCAGATCCTTTGAATTTCCTTCGTCAACAATTAGGTGCTAGTGATGGTATCGATGCTGACGCTCTTGTTCGTCAAAATCAAGACCTTAAAGCAAAAATTGCCTCACTTAATCAGACTATCTCTGAATTAGAAGCAAAACTTAATAATCCTGAACAACAATAAACTATAAAGATTCTTGTATGATTTAAACAAATTACGCAATTTTATGGCTTGTTTTCACTGCTTTTTGACGTAATAAAAAATTCTGTTTTTGATATTGAAATATCGAAATAAAATTATATGATATTTTGTATAAGGTCGCCAAAAAAAGTGCGGAAATTAAAAACCGCAGTTTGAGTACTTTCTGAGAGTCTGTTTGTCAGAAAGTATACATTTGTAAACTTTCTGACACTAAAATTTTTTTGGTCCTTTCAAAGTTTTTGACAATGTCAAAAAGTATACATCGGGGCTCTCAATTTTCCTCTCAAACGGCGGTTTTTTAAAAACGCTCATTTTTTCATCGACCTTATGCATAACGTAAATTACAATTCCAACAATGTTCCCTAATTAAATTTTTCATTTGTCCATTATTTTTACAAAAGCACCAAAAAGAATGAGGCACTTACTAATTTAACCTTAAGTACCGTATTTTATAGCAGGCGTTAATGAATGCTATTGTAATTTTGATCATGTAATCCTCGGAAAACATGTTTTGAAATCATCTCATTGTGGAAAAATATGAGATAATCAATCTTTTATTGTGTGAAAATCTGTGTTAAATGTTTTTATATTGTTTCACTGCCTGGCAATGAAAAATTTCACTAAAATTTCTGCTCTCAGAATTTTTTCAGAAAAGTTTACAAAAGCAAAAAAAGATGAATTCCACTCCCCAGACCGAGAATAAGTTTTCTATTCGGTTTGTTAATGCCAAATCGAAAGAACGTGTTCTTAAACTCGTTGGAGAGATGAAAGAGTGTTTCAAACCTGTCGAAACCCATACAGAACTTAAAGCTTGTGAAATTATCGATAAACTCACAGAAACTCCAGAATTATACCTTAAACATCCTTCACTCGACTCAGTGAAGTCATCTGACCAAGGAATTCCTATAGTTAAAGCTTCTTCAGCTCCATTAAGACCATTCCTTTTCCCAACTTATCCTTCTGCAATATCTGAAGATTATATGATTCAATCGACTCCAAAGTTTGCAGAGGAGAGACGTAATTTCATGATATCAAGCAGAGAAGAACATCAACGTTTATTATTTGCCTTTCAAGACCGATTAACTCGTGAACTTACATCTGGAGACGAGCACTATATACCATCTCCTTTCCAGACTGCAATGGCTAATATTGCTTCAGATCAGGACATTCCTTCATTTGCTATCGACAAGCAGAGAAAAGAAACAATTCAAACGCGATTCAATGCATTACTTCGTAAAAGTCAAAAGCAGACTCATACAGTTCTCGAATTCCAAAAGCGTTGCGCAAAATTAATTCAAGACGAAGAACAGTTCCATATTTTACAAGATAAGAAAGCTGGTAAGCCAGAGAATGAAATTAAAGATCCAAAACCGCTTTCTATTACTTTTCCATTTTCATTTTTATCGGATGGTTAATCATGATATTTATTTCTTAATAAATTGTTTACATCTTATATAAGCTTTGTTTTTGCATCACCTTTTATATCAAATACAATAAAATTTATTGAATATTTCTGAATCGCTTATTTATGGACTTATTGAGCAGAATAATTTTAGCACTATAGATGTGTGTTTTAACCTTTCAAGATTTACTGAATTAATATAAGAATCAGAGGAAAGATATCTTCAAATTTAATAAAAATGATGCATAACGCATGTGATCAAATGTGCTTTTGCATGGTAAGCCAAGTTATTCCTTTAAACTATATGACTTATAATAAACTTGCCACTGAAAGATATCGACTAATAAAATTTGAATGTAAAAGAGGGGGGGATAGGGTTAGTCTACCCCCTTTAAAAAAACAAGAATGGGTTGTAATTTATCTAATCCAGAGAATAAGCAGGCAGCTGAGCAAGAAATGGTAATAGTTCCATTCCTTAGTACACAACCAAGAATTATTTCAAGCGAAGAATATCATCAAACTTCTTATTTTCCATTTGAAGTAGAAGAAAAGAAAGAAGAGCAGCCTAAGAAGAAGCAGACATACGAAGAAGGAATGATAAATCATTCAACACAAGCAAATGTTTCAGAACCAACAAAAGAACTATACAAGAAACAAAAATTCAATGAATATTTCTCACATATTGAAGTCAGTACATTCCAAAATGTTCCAATCATGTCAATTCAGTCGCAACTCAATGTCCCATCCATGGAATATCAACAAGGAGATTCTCTTAATATCAATGACTATCATCAGTTAATCGACCAAGTTATACAAGCAGTTATCCCACCACTCCTCTCAATGAACCTTACCACAAAACGTGAATTAACACTTTAAGCGATGAATATTTGTTATTATTTTTAAATTTTGTATTATACTTGTTATTTGATATTTTCTTATTTGATCTATATAGAAGCTTTTTGTATAGATTTTATAGAATACTGCCAAAATTAGATTTAAAAGTCTGATTTTTAAATTTCCAATAAAATCATTTTGTGTTGATAACCAATATAAATATTTTATACTCTAATCTATGTGATATAAAGTTGAACACAATGAATTTGCAAGATTAAAAAATTTTCTTGAAATCCTTAAATTGGAGTATGACATGAATATGTTTGGGGGGTTAAAGTAATTATAACTCATATTAAAGATAAAATTATAGAATCATAAAATAATTTTGAAATTTTATGATTAAGAAGAAATAAACTATGTGATTTTAAGGATTTAATGATGGTATGTATTATCTATGTTGTCTATTATATAAAATTTGAAAATGAAATCGGGAATGTGGAAGATCGAAGGCAAATTATAAGAATATGAATAACAGTGTGCATGCTAAGCTTGTATGAAGTTATTTAAAGCGAAAGAATGAAAGGTATTTTATTAACTAAATAGTGTATATAAACAAGAATTTACAACAAAGATTGCATAGTCTGAGGTCTTTATCTGGTAGAAAAATAATGAATGAAACAATTGAAAATTAAGGATGCACTTTCGCCCCTATGACGGGGCCCTCAATTCAGATGTTTAAGGTTAATTTTCAATGCCGCTTCACGCCGGTTGTCAAAAATTTGAATCAATGTCAGATGGGCGTAAGTGCAGCCATAAATCAAGAAAAAAAATTGAAACAAAGTAGCTTAAGTTGTTTGATCTTAAAAATTTACTCCCATTGCATATATGATCTTCATTATATTGAGATTCTGAAAATGATGATTCTAAGGATATATTAACTTCACCCCAACAAGATTGAATCAATCGTCAAGTGATCTGATTCGAAATTTTCTTCATTCTCATGCCGATTAAGTATCTAAAGTGAAATGTCGATTATCATAATTTGAATTAATTTCAGATGAGAATAAGGAGAGAAAAAAAGACTTAAAAATTAAAATTTATGTTTGACTTCGAAATGGTTTACTACTCATGAATAAAAAGAAGATTTTAACATGATTTTGAGCATAAGCATTATTTTCTTCTTCGTTTTCGTCATTATTTCGAGTGGAATGACGACATTTATATTTTAATGATTCGACAAAATCTGTTGTCGAAATATTCAAAAGAGGGCATTCGTTTTCAAATGAAATACCTGTGTTCTTAAATATTGGTGGAATATCTATGTTTGCAGTGTTATCTGTTGTTGAATTTTCAAAAAATAGATTACAACCATTTGCATAAAAAATGTAAGGAATTTCATTCTCATGAATATAACAATAACTCATGAAAATAGTAGAACCCAAAGAAAAAATCAGATTACCATACTCATTTGGACTTTTATTTCTTATATAATTACATGAAGTAATTTGAAATATTGATTCAGAAGTTGAGTGCCAATTAAAATTATCGGTTGTTTGATTGTTTTCAATGACATTGACACAAGTTATGTATGAATCAGAGGTAATTAATGTTGTTGAATAACCTCCACCGCCATTTTTGACTCTATTCTGTGTAATATTGCATTCATTCATAATTGTAAAGCCATGGTACATGTAAGTTGTTTCTCTGCAGTCTTCTTCTGAACTGCCGCAGTTGTAAACTAAAGTTTCATTAACATGATTTTTGTAATTTGGTTTTTCTGAAACCCATATGTAAAATGAAGTTCCGCTGTATGAATTTGTTGAGTTAATGAATGAATTTTTTGTTTGAACAAATTCACCTTTTTCATTAAAGTAGAGAGAACCTCCTTTCTGTGATCCGGAGGAACATGATTCGAATTTATTTGTTGTTGCATATGTTTTAACGTCATCACTTTGTGATTCAATTCGAATAGCACCATTTGGACTTAATTCAAGAAAAAAACAGCTTGAAACAAAGTAGTTTAAGTTGTTTGTTCTTAAAAATACTGTGTTGTTATGAATATGATCTTCATCATAACATGATCCTGGGAATGAAGATTCCCAGGATATATTGACTTCACTTCGACCAGATTGACTGTATCGTCAATTTGTCTGATTCTCGATTTTTATAAATCATTTATTGAAATGGTTTTAAAAATATCAATAAAATCATACTAAAATTTAATAATTTAATAATAAATACAAATATTTAAATAAGCTTCAAAAGAAGCCAGTTTTCTGTTCTGAACAACAATTCTGTTACATTCTCGTATGTAGGGTAGTTATTATCTTGTCTCAAATCAAACAAAACGAACTTGATCTTTTTCATTTCCATTAATTGTTTCAAATTCATTGTGTTATATTGTATGAGCCTTTGTGTTGCATCTTCACCTCTCTGGTAGTGTCCAAAAGCATCTCCAACGAAAATCTGGTGACCAACTAAGAAAGAAACAGGATTCATCGAGGATGGTGTTGTTAATATTGCTTCACTGTTACTAATATGCATCTCTATGAATGATGCCATGCTTTTCGCATCTTTTGTAACTCCATCAACAACATTTTGTGTTTGTCGAACGCATGAGATATGTCCTGTGACAACAAATATGATAAAGAACAAAATGCAAATGCCTGTGATGTGTCCACGCATCCTTTTTCCTAATGATGAAACAATTGTGTTCAAAAATGAAACTGTTGCAATAATTGCTGTTGGCAATACAGTTGCTGTGATCGCTAGTGCATTATCAAAGTGGTCGCCGCCGGATCTGATGAAAGATAAAAGAATTAAAGGCGAAATTGTTAAAATTACACGATGTAGAAGCAAAGGTTTGAGGTTCATGAATGGAAATAGGATGAAAGATATGATAAATGGGCCAAGAATGTCAAACCATGACCAGAATTGTGAAATGAAAACACCATCGTACTGATATTCGCGCCAGATTGGGACAATAGACAAACTGCTGTAAAAGTACTTCCAAACAAGTGAAATGGAAAAGAAAAATGTGAACAAAATAGAGTTAACGTGGCATAAACAAATAATAAAAACAGAAAAAGAGACAGCGAAGCTAGGAATCAATGATGCAATGAATCCTGCAAGTAGGAACATCATGTAGTAGCCAGATCCGAACTCTGGTGTTGCAATAATCGCAATAACGTAAATAGCCATCGGAAATGCGAAAGATGCTGACTTGGAACAAACAAGGAACTTGAAAAACGGTTGGTAGATAGGTGTAACGTATCCTTTTCCGATGTTGTGAAGTAAATCTATCGAAGTATCTCTGCATCTAAAGAAATGGATGAATCCCCAGCTACTATGGAATAGAACAAGGAAAGTGACGATAGTTGGGAAGTTTATATATGAAGCTGTCAAAATATTTAACGCAATAACTGTCGAAATCGTGTTAAGGAATGAGATTATGAAGGAAATATCGATGTAGTCACTATGCATCTGGTATAAACATGCTGTAAACGCTATAGGAAGTGGTGATGCATTAAGAGTTTCGTTCAATAACATTGGATTATTGAGAAGGAATGGACTTATGCGATTTTTGTTAGTTCCATTAATTAAAGACATCATTGCTGAGTGATCTAGTTCTATTAATGACTTTCCTTCCTTTGGAACTTTGTAAGGAAATTGTCTATAAAATCCGTAAAGAATAAAAAGACTGTAAATAGACGTAACAAATAAAGATAGATAAATCCAATGATTTTTTTCTGCTTGAAATACGAATCTTCGTAAATAATCTTTCGGATGTAAATAATAAACTAAATAAATAGAAATTGCACTGAAACAAACTTGGAATAGCATTATAAATAAAACTAAAAATGCTGATAGACTTGCGAAATTTGATAAAATAACAGCAATTAAGCCAGTTACCATTGATCCAATCAACCAGCCAAGAGAAATATGTAATAAAAGCTGGCTGGTCCTCTGTCTAAATGCAAGTACTATTGACCAGCCGAATAATGTTGTTGTTAATACAAAAACAATACTCAACATTTTTGATAAAAAAGTGACATGAAAATTTACATGTCAGATTTCAAATTGTTTTTTTATATTTTTAAATCATGATTTATTTACCAAGGAAGACATATTTTCAACTTCTTGTTCTAGGAATATCGTCGTTGATCTTTTCTATATTGACATTATGCTTCTCGTCATATATATTTTCGATTTCGAAAAAACCTCAACAAACATCTTTACCATTTATCACAGGAAAACCATTACCATCTAAATACTTGATTGACGGCAGTGTTATGAGTCCAGTCTTTGATCAAGGTCCGCGCGGCACATGTTATTTATTTCAAATCATTTCTATTCTCGAGTCACAGTACAAAAAACAAGGATTACGAAACGGCTACTTACAAGAGAACGAATATTTAAAGCTTTCAGTCGAAGGTCTTGCATACAAAATGGTACAACTGTGCCAACAATACCCTAATAGTCCTCCTTGCATAAACAGTCCACGTTTATTAAATACATCAGACGCAGGCAGTCTTTCTGAGTTCTTAGATTTTGTCGATTACTTTCCGGAATTCAAGAAATACGTTGTTCCCGCAAATTGTTGTGTTTACCAACAAAAACCACAAAACGAAATGATTTGTCCAAACATCGACAACTGCATCAAGAACAACCCTATCGAATTCAACATCCTTCGTCGTTATTACACACAAAACATCGAAGATACAAAACAATGGCTTTACCAACTTGGTCTTCCATCCGGTTTCTCTATTACTATGCCACAACAGCGTTACATCTTCCCATGTAGTAATCGACTAGTCAACAATAGTTTGTCATGTCTGAATCGCGATTTCCGATGTCCAGACGATCCAAGAGAATTTTGTTCTATCGAAGACTTCAAGCTTTTCAAAGCTAGTGATGCTGAGTTTATTTTCCATAAGACAGGACGCACAGTTCCTGGCACAGGCCATGCTATGACATTAGTTGGCTACAATGATAATTTCAGTCCTAAGATGACGTACAACTTCACCGGTCGATCTCCACAGACAGGAGGTTTCATCATCAAGAACAGCTGGGGATCACGTGGCCACACATACGAATATTTACTTGACATGATGACAGAAGACCAAGACGCTATGTATTGTCCAGACAAAGACAACGTCATGCGATGGATTCCTGCATCATACGAATGCATCAAACAATACCGTGATGGTGACAAATGTTCATTGGACACAATTCTCACACGAGGCAAACGAATTATGAAATCATCAGATACATTGAAATGTGTTAACAAAACACACTGTGATGTTAATTCTACATATTATTTACTTCGTGAATCATCAAGTTCATTGTCTCCTTCTATTGTTTGGTCTAAATACGGTGTTCCTCTTTCACGTGTTATTCGAGTCAAAGGAAATGACTCTCCTGTTATCGAGACAATCGAAACATTACCTATCCAACACTTGTACTACGCATTTCAGTTGCGAGATGACTTGATTGAACCTCCAGTTGAAGGTAAATGCGGCTATGTTATGTTCTTTTATGACGACCTTTTGGACATGAAGAAGATGACACAAGGTCAAAGCCGTGGTTATTTCATTGTTCAAGGTGTTGATGTTGAATTTACAAAAACTAGTTTCAAAGGCAGTGGCTCACGACTTAACTATACACTTGTTGATCGTTCGATTTCAACATACAAAGAAATCGATTCTCGTGATCCATTAGATTTTACTGAATTGTTATAAATACATTTTGTTTATTTGTTTTTTTTATTCAATTACTCTTCTTTATTAACTATATTTAACAAATTATCAATTTATATTAAAATGTCTGTTTTTCAAAAAAATGGGAAGAATCTCATCTTGATAATAAGTGTTTGGTAAGGAGCACTAATTTGAGATATCTTCTTCCTAGCAAAAAGGCCTCTAAAATGTGCTACGAATAAATACAAATCGTACGCAAGTTTTAGTATATTTTAAAAAAAAAAAAACTTGAATGCTTCATAAATAATGGAGTAGGTTTTGTTTCATGGAATACTGATATGGCAGGTCGAGGATTCATGATTTTATGATTCAGTTCATATTTTCATCAAAAAAAAAGTCGAAATGGGATTAAAAAACAGAAAAACATTTCTTGAATGCTTAAGATTCGGAGTGAAAAAACGCTCAAAACTTGAAAGTTGATATTTTATGTTCTACTTCGAAATGGTTTACTACTCATAAATAAAAAGAAAAATTTAACATGATTTTGAACATAAACGTTATTTTCTTCTTTGTTTTCGTCATTATTTGGAGTGGGATGACGACATTTATATTTTAATGATTCGACGAAATCTGTTGTCGAAATATTCAAAAGAGGACATTCATTTTCAAATGAAATATCTGTGTTCTTAAATATTGGTGAATTACCATATTTATAATATGTAGTTTTATCTGTTGTTGAATTTTCAAATGTTATTGTACATGAATCTGCATAAAAAATGTAAGGAATTTTATTCTCACGAATACAACAATAACTCATGAAAACATTAGAATACCAAGAATAAATCAGATAACTTTTACTATCTGGACAATTATTTCTTATATAATTACATGAAGTAACTTTAAATATTGATGATTTATATGAAGAAGAAGATGTGTGCCAAGTAAATTCATTGTATGTTTGATTGTTTTCAATGACATTGACACAAGTTATGTATGAATCAGAGGTAATTGATGTTGTTCTATAACCACCAATCCATTCTTTGACTCTATTTTGTGTAATATTGCATTCATTCATGATTATAAAGCCATCACACATGTCAGTTGTAATCCAGCATTTTTCTTTTGAACTGCCGCAGTTGTAAACTAAAGTTTCATTAGCATGATTTTTGTAATTTGGTTTTTCTGAAACCCATATGGAAAATGAAGGTCCTCTTTCTGAATTTGTTGATTTAATGAATGAATTTTTTGTTTGAACAAATTCACCTTTTTCATTAAAGTAGAGAGAACCTCCTTTCTGTGATCCAGAGGAACATGATTTGAATTCGTTTGTTGTTGCATATGTTTTAGAATCGTCATTCGTTGTTGAAATTCGAATTGCACCATCTGGACTTAATTCAAGAAAAAAACAACTTGAAACAAAGTAGTTTAAGTTATTTGATCTTGAAAATATTGCGCTGTTATGAATATGATCTTCTTCATAGCATGATCCTGGAAATAGAAATTCCCAGGATATATTGACTTCACTCCGACCAGATTGACTGTATCGTAAAATGAATTTCATTATATTATATAATTTGCCGGAGTCTGATAGAAATGTACTGGAAAATGCATTGTGATGTAAAATTTGTCTTCAAATCAATTTTTATGATGAAATCAAGTCTTGGAAATGTAAGTCATGGATTTCCTCTCCTTGAAAACGGATTTAACACATCCATCTTAGTAAAGCATATGTATTATAATAAGTTTACATTATATTATGCATATTATATACAATTGGAATGTATTTACCTAATATAATGGAATCATATTCATATCATAAATATAAATAATCATAATCAACATAAACTCATCTCCGAAAATCCTGCAGCAATAAATACAAGCAAAATTAGACGCATTTCCATCAAAATTTGATTTCTTTAAGTTTAAATCGAATTCTAACTATCTCGATTTGCATGTGATCCTAATGTTATCAGAAAAAAACGAAAAACTCCTTGCAATCAATAATTGGTCATAAAGAGCAAACAAAAACGTGACAAAGTAATTTAAAATGTCTGGTGCAGGAAGCGGATACGATTTTAACCCAATTACATTCTCTCCAGATGGCCGCCAGTTCCAAGTTGAGTATGCTACAAAGGCTGTCGAAAAAGATTCTCTTGCTTTAGGTGTCAAATGCAAAGATGGCATTTTGCTTGCTGCGGAGAAGAATTTAACATCAACACTTCTCACTCCAGGTGGCAATCCAAGAATTTTCTGGATCAACGACAGCATTGCTTGTGCAACAATCGGTCATCGTCCAGATTGCTACAGCATTGTTGAGCAATCCAGAAACAGAGCTGAAACATTCACATCAAATTTCGGCATCAAAATTACAGTTCCTCAGCTTGCTTCAGAAGTTTCACAACAATTCCACCTCGCACATTACTATCAAGCTTATCGCCCATTCGGCTGCACAGTTATTTTTGCTAGCTATAAGGATGATGCATTATACGCTATAGAGCCTAGTGGCGCATTTTATGGATATTTCGCCTCATGCTTCGGCAAAAATAGCAACTTAGCACGCGCTGAACTCCAAAAGACAGAATGGAAGAATATTACAGTTCGTGAAGCTGTTCCAGAGGTAGCCCGTATCATCAAATCTCTCCATGAAAGTCAATTTAAGAAATGGGAAATCGAAATGTTCTGGCTTTGTGAAGAAACCAACGGCCGCCCACAGAAGGTCCCAGAGGATGTCTTCCAATCAAGATTTGTCAATGAAAACCCACAAAACTAAAATTTGATTTTTTATAGCTACTAAAAATCACTTATATATCATACAAAGCTAAATTCTTGAGCTTAATAAGTTAAACATATTAAATCCTTATAAATCTAATATTTTTATTAATAAATCTTAAACAAAAAGAATTAGGTTGAAATTTCTATTGTACTTCATTTCATAGTAAGATATAATCGTTCCTGGCCATGAAAAAATGAAAGATGTTATATCTTGATTTAATTCTTCTGTTTATTGAATTTACTATAATGAAAATAATTGTATTTGAGATTTTAAGATAGAATATATATAGTACAAAGTTGATTTTTATTAAAACAAACAATTATTTGGAATTTTTATTTGCGATTCAGCCATTCTTTCTTGGCTTTCTTAAGGAATAGCAATGCTCTTTCTTTATCACCATGATGGATAGAATTTGTAGCATGAGATAAATCTCTGATGATAATCTCTTGAAAATCTTCTGGATATTCGATATTTTGAGGAACTTCAATGTCATGACTCTTCAGATACTCAAGAGCGGTTTCCCTCTTATAGAGATATGGCTTCTCCTTGAAATTCTTGAGTTTATATTTTGTTTCTTTGTGAACAAGCGGTGTTTGAGCTGGGGAAGATTGTGGAATATCTTTCTCCTGTACAGATTTACCTGTTCTTTGTATTTCGTGTATTTTCAAGGCTGCAAATAAACAAGCATTTTCTCTTTCCATTGCTTCATTTCCATCAAGGACGGAGTACAATAGTGAACAAAGTAAATATTGTTGAGGCATTTCTTTATTGATTTCGCTCGTCATGAACATAAAAGTTAATTTTGAAAACATTTCATCAGCAATAATACGTGTTTCTCGTGCTCCATCTTCAGGAAATTCACCACACTCTGTTTCAATCTTTTGAAGATATGCTTTTATGTCTGGATTATTTTGATAATTGAATTTAAGAAGACAATTGTCGAGATAAGTGAATAACAGAACAGAGGAAACCTTTTTGTTAATCTTGGAAAACACTTTTGATGCTACATAATACTTTTCGAACTCTCGAAAAATCTCGGGAATTTCAGTTGTCATTTTTGATAAAAATAAAATAGGGGGTAACACTCAACTTAAAGAAAATGATCTTCATTTTGATGATGTAAAAAGAGAAATAAGAAATTTGGATACATACAAATGAAAGCCATTCGACTCCAAATGATGATGATCTTAGCAAATCAAAGAAACAAAGTGAAAAAGATAAAAAATATGAGAAATCTCAAAGACAATAGAAAGAAAAGGAAGGAGTTTGTATGTATTTGAATTTAATAAATTGAAGAAGATTTGAGTGTAGGTTTAAATTTGTGATTTGCTTGTAGGAAGTTGTAAAAAAAATCAAGTGTAAAGAAAAATGTTGCTTTTTCTGGCACTTGAACTTGACTCTAAGAAGTTAATATGGTTTACTGGGAAACACCATTCTTACGCTCACGGACACGGCGGCTGCGAGCACGGCGGGCATCGATCTGGGACTGGAGTGTCTTTTCACGAAGGTTCTCAGCCTTGAGTGTCTGGATGTGCTCAACAAGGTTACGGCGGTTACGGAATTCGTTACCCTTGGCCTTAAGATAGAGCTTGCGGTAAAGATGGCAGTCGATTTCGTTGCGCTTTCTGTAGTCAACAAGAACCTTGCGGAGAACGCGGATACGGCGGATCCACTGGAACTTGCCTGTAAGGCGGGCGTTCCTGCCACCACGGCGCTTACCGTAGCCTGTGTGGCGGCCAAGGCGCTTGGCGAGGATACGCTTTGTATGGCGAGCGCCAGAGTGGACCTTGACTGGGCGCTTGACAATGATACCGTCGTTGATGAGTTTGCGGATTTGCTGGCGTGAGTTGGCCATGGCGATTGTTGAAACTTCGGAGTCATCCATCCAGACACGGCGAACACCGCAGTCAAGGACGGAGGCAGCAAGGCGCTTCTGAAGCTTGAGGCTAGACATATCCTAAAAAGGCTAAGCCAAACCGCTATTTCCATTCAAATTTTCTTCGACTGTTGACGAATCACGCTTTACATGGAATGTTTTTTGAACTTTACGTGGCAAATCTTGAAGAGCCAGTTCGCGAGTTTCGACTCTTAAACATGATCTTATAAAAACACTACTCATTTAAATTTGAAAATTCGTAAAAACATCGCCCACAAATCAATTTACAACACAAATAAGAGTTCAATTACTTAAATTTTTGAAATATCGATCTTCAATTTTCCCTTTATCTTTCATACATCAACGCCATTTTATAATATTGATGAGTCTATGACTGAGGTAAGGATGAGTCTATGACTGAGGTAAGGATGAGTCTATGACTGAGGTAAGGATGAGTCTATGATTGAGGTAAGGATGAGTCAATGACTGAGGTAAGGATGAGTCTATGACTGAGGTAAGGATGAGTCTATGACTGAGGTAAGGATGAGTTGTTGTCTGAGGTAAGGATGAGTCTATGACTGAGGTAAGGATGAGTCTATGACTGAGGTAAGGATGAGTCTATGATTGAGGTAAGGATGAGTCAATGACTGAGGTAAGGATGAGTCTATGACTGAGGTAAGGATGAGTCTATGACTGAGGTAAGGATGAGTCTATGACTGAGGTAAGGATGAGTCAATGACTGAGGTAAGGATGAGTCAATGACTAAGGTAAGGATGAGTTGTTGTCTGAGGTAAGGATGAGTCAATGACTGAGGTAAGGATGAGTCTATGACTGAGGTAAGGATGAGTCTATGACTGAGGTAAGGATGAGTCAATGACTGAGGTAAGGATGAGTCTATGACTGAGGTAAGGATGAGTCAATGACTGAGGTAAGGATGAGTCTATGACTGAGGTAAGGATGAGTCAATGACTAAGGTAAGGATGAGTTGTTGTCTGAGGTAAGGATGAGTCAATGACTGAGGTAAGGATGAGTCTATGACTGAGGTAAGGATGAGTCTATGACTGAGGTAAGGATGAGTCTATGACTAAGGTAAGGATGAGTCTATGACTGAGGTAAGGATGAGTCTATGACTGAGGTAAGGATGAGTCTATGACTGAGGTAAGGATGAGTCTATGACTGAGGTAAGGATGAGTCAATGACTGAGGTAAGGATGAGTCTATGACTGAGGTAAGGATGAGTCTATGATTGAGGTAAGGATGAGTCAATGACTGAGGTAAGGATGAGTCAATGACTAAGGTAAGGATGAGTTGTTGTCTGAGGTAAGGATGAGTCTATGACTGAGGTAAGGATGAGTCTATGACTGAGGTAAGGATGAGTCAATGACTGAGGTAAGGATGAGTCAATGACTAAGGTAAGGATGAGTCTATGACTGAGGTAAGGATGAGTCTATGACTGAGGTAAGGATGAGTCAATGACTAAGGTAAGGATGAGTTGTTGTCTGAGGTAAGGATGAGTCTATGACTGAGGTAAGGATGAGTCTATGACTGAGGTAAGGATGAGTCTATGATTGAGGTAAGGATGAGTCAATGACTGAGGTAAGGATGAGTCTATGACTGAGGTAAGGATGAGTCTATGACTGAGGTAAGGATGAGTTGTTGTCTGAGGTAAGGATGAGTCTATGACTGAGGTAAGGATGAGTCAATGACTAAGGTAAGGATGAGTCTATGACTGAGGTAAGGATGAGTCTATGACTGAGGTAAGGATGAGTTGTTGTCTGAGGTAAGGATGAGTCTATGACTGAGGTAAGGATGAGTCAATGACTAAGGTAAGGATGAGTTGTTGTCTGAGGTAAGGATGAGTCAATGACTGAGGTAAGGATGAGTCTATGACTGAGGTAAGGATGAGTCTATGACTGAGGTAAGGATGAGTCAATGACTGAGGTAAGGATGAGTCTATGACTGAGGTAAGGATGAGTCAATGACTGAGGTAAGGATGAGTCTATGACTGAGGTAAGGATGAGTCAATGACTAAGGTAAGGATGAGTTGTTGTCTGAGGTAAGGATGAGTCAATGACTGAGGTAAGGATGAGTCTATGACTGAGGTAAGGATGAGTCTATGACTGAGGTAAGGATGAGTCTATGACTAAGGTAAGGATGAGTCTATGACTGAGGTAAGGATGAGTCTATGACTGAGGTAAGGATGAGTCTATGACTGAGGTAAGGATGAGTCTATGACTGAGGTAAGGATGAGTCTATGACTTAGGTAAGGATCATTCCATTCCACATATATCACAACACCTACACCTTACACAACCCACAAATCATCTCCAAATTTCTTTTCAGAACTTCTTTTAAATGAGTATTTTTCAATCAACAAACATCCCTTCTTTTGCCCGCACAAAAGGTTTCAGATGTTATATTGTTCCAGAAACTCATGAAACAAAGTTCTAAATGAAAATCCACGGAATGAGCTTGTTCAATAGCATTATCAATAAAAAGAAATCTATGGTATCGCCCGCACAATACCAAAAGATTCCATTTTGTAATGAATGATTACTATGATCCAAGGATGGTTCCGTAGACTTGAAAATTTTAAATTGGAGGTTTAATTCAAATTTGGCGGGCTTTTGGTCGTATATTAATTTAACTAATATGAATTTGGATTGTGCTTTCCTTATTGATGTAATGATATTTTCACTAATAAAAAATGAAATATACACAAGAAAAAATTATTCAAAAATTATCATTGCATTTTATTTGAAGAAATTTTGAAAAAACATCATACACATACTATAAATGAATATTATCATCTTAATTTTAATAAATTTCATTTACTTGGAAAGATGCAAGATCATCTTGTACTTACTCTTCGATTTATTCCATGTAACTTCGCAGGTAATAATGGCGCACTTACCTCTATTTTGGATTTTTATAGTTTCCCTCAAAACACATTCTATGGACTTACGCTCGTATCGCGTTAAAAAATGTCGTTAAAATTGAACCGCGCCTTCATTGGAAAATGTATGGAAGAGTAATTAGTTTAATTAAGTTGTACGAATCGAACGTAAGCTTGATAATTTAAATTTATTGATAATTTGCAATTTGAAATAGAACTAGAAAGATATCGATATTTCAAAAATTTAAGTAATTGAACTCTTATTTGTGTTGTAAATTGATTTGTGGGCGATGTTTTTACGAATTTTCAAATTTAAATGAGTAGTGTTTTTATAAGATCATGTTTAAGAGTCGAAACTCGCGAACTGGCTCTTCAAGATTTGCCACGTAAAGTTCAAAAAACATTCCATGTAAAGCGTGATTCGTCAACAGTCGAAGAAAATTTGAATGGAAATAGCGGTTTGGCTTAGCCTTTTTAGGATATGTCTAGCCTCAAGCTTCAGAAGCGCCTTGCTGCCTCCGTCCTTGACTGCGGTGTTCGCCGTGTCTGGATGGATGACTCCGAAGTTTCAACAATCGCCATGGCCAACTCACGCCAGCAAATCCGCAAACTCATCAACGACGGTATCATTGTCAAGCGCCCAGTCAAGGTCCACTCTGGCGCTCGCCATACAAAGCGTATCCTCGCCAAGCGCCTTGGCCGCCACACAGGCTACGGTAAGCGCCGTGGTGGCAGGAACGCCCGCCTTACAGGCAAGTTCCAGTGGATCCGCCGTATCCGCGTTCTCCGCAAGGTTCTTGTTGACTACAGAAAGCGCAACGAAATCGACTGCCATCTTTACCGCAAGCTCTATCTTAAGGCCAAGGGTAACGAATTCCGTAACCGCCGTAACCTTGTTGAGCACATCCAGACACTCAAGGCTGAGAACCTTCGTGAAAAGACACTCCAGTCCCAGATCGATGCCCGCCGTGCTCGCAGCCGCCGTGTCCGTGAGCGTAAGAATGGTGTTTCCCAGTAAAACAATATAACTTATCCATCTAAATTAAAACGTGTCTTTGAAACTTAAATTATTTAATTTTTTACTTTTCTCCTTCTTTGGTCTTTGATTTTACTCTTATTTAATTCAACATCTTTCCACCTATTACTTTATTATTTCCTTTGACTCGACAAAGCTTATTTCTCTTGACCAATATCATCCCTTCTGCAAACCTTTGCATTACAGATGCTTTTCTGTAAATAAATCATTATACAAATGATAAAATCAAATATTATTGGATTTCGATAGCTCTTATAATCAACAAATAATAGTGCAATAATCGGTCAATCGAAAATTTAAGACTAGTATCAAGAGACTTAATCTATAGGGCAGGGAATATAATTATGTCTACTCATCTGCTCAAAAAAAATCATATTTAGGAAATATATCGAACATATATCAAAAAAAGTGAAATATGACTTAAAATAGAATATTGTTCCAAGGAAGGAGTTTGTATGTATTTGAATTTAATAAATTGAAGAAGATTTGAGTGTAGGTTTAAATTTGTGATTTGCTTGTAGGAAGTTGTAAAAAAAATCAAGTGTAAAGAAAAATGTTGCTTTTTCTGGCACTTGAACTTGACTCTAAGAAGTTAATATGGTTTACTGGGAAACACCATTCTTACGCTCACGGACACGGCGGCTGCGAGCACGGCGGGCATCGATCTGGGACTGGAGTGTCTTTTCACGAAGGTTCTCAGCCTTGAGTGTCTGGATGTGCTCAACAAGGTTACGGCGGTTACGGAATTCGTTACCCTTGGCCTTAAGATAGAGCTTGCGGTAAAGATGGCAGTCGATTTCGTTGCGCTTTCTGTAGTCAACAAGAACCTTGCGGAGAACGCGGATACGGCGGATCCACTGGAACTTGCCTGTAAGGCGGGCGTTCCTGCCACCACGGCGCTTACCGTAGCCTGTGTGGCGGCCAAGGCGCTTGGCGAGGATACGCTTTGTATGGCGAGCGCCAGAGTGGACCTTGACTGGGCGCTTGACAATGATACCGTCGTTGATGAGTTTGCGGATTTGCTGGCGTGAGTTGGCCATGGCGATTGTTGAAACTTCGGAGTCATCCATCCAGACACGGCGAACACCGCAGTCAAGGACGGAGGCAGCAAGGCGCTTCTGAAGCTTGAGGCTAGACATATCCTAAAAAGGCTAAGCCAAACCGCTATTTCCATTCAAATTTTCTTCGACTGTTGACGAATCACGCTTTACATGGAATGTTTTTTGAACTTTACGTGGCAAATCTTGAAGAGCCAGTTCGCGAGTTTCGACTCTTAAACATGATCTTATAAAAACACTACTCATTTAAATTTGAAAATTCGTAAAAACATCACCAACAAATCAATTTACAACAATCAATGTCAAGCAGAAACTATTATTTCAAATCATTCTTTACTAATCTTCTTCTCACGGTCAACAAAACTTTCTCACATTTCATACCATTCCCGTCGCAAATGCTTTAATTTCCATTTCTTAATACCAAGTAATAAATTTCATTATTTATTCCCCCTTCCTTTATCATTTCTTCATCTTTTCATTTATGTTCTTTCACTCTTTATATTTGGCTCTTCAAATACATTCATTTCTTGATATTCGATATCAAGATTTTCAATCTTTATCAAACGAACTACGTATATCAGATTGATCGATGTTTTTCACTCCAACATAACTACTGTTGACAAATTTTCTAATATAACATAGTTTCTGAATATATTTTCTTACATCTTTTTGATTTTAATTATTTCTATATCAATTCTGCTCATCCTACTTGAGTTTTTTAATTTTCCTTTTATATTTTATGTATATTCGTTTATTGAGAAATTTATTTGAATTTTAGTGTAAGATTCTTGAGATTTGATATGGTTTGTATTTCTTTTTCATTTATTTCTCTGTAGGTATATTGCAAGAGGTACTTGTCAACTCATATTCTTTGTTATGTTTTAACTTGAATGTTGTGAATCGGTTTTTATATATCTGCTTCCCTCCTTTCCATGTATCCTATTTTCCATAATTATTGATGTTAATTTTATATTTGAATTTTTTGAAATTTTGAATCATAGCTATTGAGCCTATTTTGCAGCGAAAATAAAATCATAATGTATTGCCAAATACAGTTATGTAATCAATTTCGAATTCTATCTTTGGTCATGTAAAATTAGAATCATTTTTTTAGAGGAAAAACTTCGTAAGGCGCCCGTGGAAATGAAATCTGAGGGGCCTTATGTCGATCAATACTTTGACTTTGTAGAAAAGATCGGCAAGGGCTCCAATAGCACAGTTTTCAAAGTAATCGAAAAGAGAACGAAGAAAGTTCTCGCTTTGAAAAAGCTCAAGCCTAGAGTTAAAACCAAAGATGAGCCAGACTTCGAAATTGCTGCCCATTGCGTTCTAAAAGATGAAAATATCGTCAAACTTAATGGAAAATTCGTTTGTAAACGAGATTCGTCAACTTACTTAATATTTGATTACTACGATTATGATTTATTCTCTGTCATTCATGACAATTCTTCAAAACAACTCAGCAAAGATTTAATTAAATCTTTATCTTTTCAACTTCTCAAAGCTGTCGATTGCTGTCATAAGCACAATGTTTTACATCGAGATATCAAGCCAGAAAACATTATGATTACAAGAGATGGCGTTTTGAAACTCGGAGATTTTGGATATGCTTTTAAAGGCGATCCTTCTCTCAAAAAGTCCACAAATGTTATTACACCTTCTTACAGGCCACCTGAAATATTACTTGGAGACCAGTATTACTTATTTCCATCTGATATTTGGTCAGTTGGCTGCGTTATTTATGAATTACTCACTGGGAAAGCTCTTTTCAGACCAGAAAACTTCACCGTGGAATCCCAGTTGGATAAAATACTCTCAATTATCGGAACTCCGTCAAATGAAGAAATTAAAACGAAATTTAGTGTTGCAGTTCCAACAAACATCAATCATTATGATTCTTGTCTTCACAATTACCTTATTAACGAAATCTCTGATGAATTTTCAGAATTTCGTGAACTTTTGGAAAAAATATTAATATTTAACCCAGAAAATCGTCTTACGGCCTCTCAACTGTTGCAATTACCCATATTTAGTGGTATTACCGTTGAAAGGATCCCAATTACCTTCTTTGTTTCTCAAAATTCGATTTCTCCAAATTTATCTTCTCCGGAAATCAAATATTCCGGAATAATTCGGCCTCAACTTCCAAAGTTGGTTCTTGCCGAATAAGAATTTCGTAGCTTCGTGCTATTTTTCTCTAATTTTTTTATATGTTTTTATGACATATAACTTTTTAACTTGTTTTACCTGATTTGGAACATTTTAAGTTCCTTTTTCTACCCTCTCTCTAAAAATCTTTTGTTGATTTTTAAATTATTTTATTTTAAAAATATTTTATGAAATACTACAATAAACTACATTACATATGGTATGTATTTGTAGAATATTGAATAAAGATCAATGGTACTTATCTTAAATTGATAGTCAATTTGATATTCACAAATAATTCTTTATTCTTTGATTCATTCGATATGAAATTGAGTAAGTAATGTATAATATGCGATATTTAAGGCAATTCAATATCAGTATTTATAAGCGAATGTTTTTATATCAATCAATCCATTTAATCACCGATATCAATTGGAGAAAGGGGATTTGTTAATACGAAATGGTTGGAAACAACATGACATCATATAAATATATTCTATCCCATATATATAGCATATTCCCACCTACAGGTCATTGTTTACACTATCAATATGAAGATTTCTACAGCTTTTTTCGTTGTCTACAACTTATTTCGGGGATATGAAATATTTTTTGCATTTGTCTTATTGCTGCGTTTGCGTTCTAAAGATACATATAACTACATTCAAGATCTTGTAGAATGAAAATTCTAATATATAATATAAGGATTTTGAAGTTGTATTATAAAGAGTGATGATTTAAAAAAATGTTTTTATTATTTAATAGAAATGTTTTTATTATGCTGCACCGTATCTCAAAAGCATATTCCTCATCGTAGGAGAAGAAGCAATATTTATTGGTCTTTGTCCATCAGCATTTGGTAAATTTAGCAAATTTTGATAGTTAGAAGCCATAAATTCAGCTCCTTCATAACAATTTCCATTTACAAAAATCCACAAAACACTTCTTCTGTTATTATTAAGGCGTTCCATTGAAGCACCCAATGTGGCGAGTTTCTTTATGAGTTGATGATTACTACACATTGCAGCGAAATGTATAATTGTATCTCCATTTCCATTAGATACATCTACATAACCATTTTGAATTGCATATCTAATTGCATCATCATTATTTTCTTTCCTTAATTGTTCTAGCGTGTCATATATGTTTTGCATGTTTGAACTGTTCTTAGGAATGGATTGGAGCACTCTATAACTCTGTTGCTTCTGAGCTTCATTAGCTTGTCTTTGATAATCATTAATTTTCCTTTCATTATTTCTTATTGTTTCATTCAATATTTTAATATTATTTTCTAAATTTTGGATTTTCTGATTTCTTTCTTGAATTGTTCTATTCTTTTCTTGAATCATTTGTTTGTATTGTTCCGTTGTTTGTTCTAAACTTTTGATCCTTTTCTCTTGTTCTTCATTGTTCAATATCATTACAGGAACTTTTTCATTTCCTTGGATTTTTCTTGGATATTTATTTGATGATTTTTTGGTGAGAAATGATTGAATGAAATGAATGGAGCAATTAATGACAGGATCTATGCATTCTTTACTACATAATGAAAGAATTTCCATGCATACATCATATGAGCAAAATTCGATTTTGATCAATTGAAGAAAACTCTTGAAAACATCTGATTTTTTAATTAATGAAAGAATTGAATTTGCTATTTGGTCTTCACTCTTGACAGTAAGATCTGTATCAATAAGTATCTTTTCTATGATGTCGTAGTATTCCATTGAATCGTTTTCGCTTAAAATAAGATCGGAAAGGAAATTTTGATCAAATTTGAAAAAGTTTGATGCAATAAACTTGATGCATTCATCTATTTTGGCTGAATTTTCGGAACTAATGTAGATATGCATATGATCTAAAGCATTTTGTTCATTAATTTTCTCATTTTCGATAATTAAAGTGTAAGGAGTTATCAAATCAGGACTTTCTAACTCTCGACCGATATCGTATAATTCTTTTATGACTTTCAAATCGACTACTCCGTTGAATTCTCCTTGAGAAAGAATTTTGCCAAAAATTTGTATTGTTTCATTATGAAATGAATGCCTTTGTATCTCGTATCTGTCAATAGAATCATCGAGCTGGATCTTTGCTTGGATCTTCGGGCTTAGACAGAAGGCAAATGAATCAAATATTGTGAAATCTTTATCATTTAAAATGACATGGAACTTGTTTCCTCTTTGGAATCTGGACATATTCACTAAATATTGGGAGCCGTAATGAACTTGCATCACTGAAAAAAATGGAAAATATAAAAAGTATCAAAATATGCTTCATATTTTATTTTAATTTTTTTTTAATTTTATTTGAAATTTACCATTTTCACAAGTATAAATAGAAATCGAAACAGTACATCAATAGAAATTAATACAATATGTGCAATTTATGTGTTACTCTTCCTACTTTTCGCATTAATAGCAGGAGAATGTATACTATTTTAGTGAAAAGCGAAGATTTTTAGTTATAATGAATAAGTTATAGTAGGATTTTGGGAGTTCAAGCATACACAAGCTGAAAATAAATTTAATCTCAAATGACAAAAATTAAATTGAAAAATAATGTAAATTTTTATTCATTAGCTGATACAAACAAAATATTAGTGCTCAAGTCCATCAAGAGATGGCATTCTAGTTGTCATTTCTGTCTGGAGTGTAAAGAAATCAGAATCAATGTCATCATTTTCTTCTTCATTAGAAATATCGTTGAGGATGTCGCATATATTATTTATTTCTTTTACGAAATCAGCATTGTTGATTTCCATTTGATTGTAGTCTTCGATGACGACTTTTGATAAATTTGATTTTTCTGCAGTTGAAGAAACCGCACCGTGTGCCATTCCTTGAACTTCCATTGTGTCTTTAAGTAAAGATAACTGAATGGTTTTATTTTGATCAGCTTCGAGTTTCGAATTTAATTGTTCGAGATATTTGCGTCGCTTTAGAAGATCCATGCCTTTCTTTTTGAGAATTTGTTGCATGTGCTGTGTGACGCTTGGATCTTTAAGTCTTTTTGCAATATTTGCTAATTTGTTGTCAATAGTTTGCATTTCTTTTTCATGACGTGCAGCCTTCTGTTCCATACCGGTGAGTATTTCATTGATGTCATTTGGGTTTCCTTTCCTTCCAAAAAGATGCCTTACGGTCATTTTTTTTTATAAAAATTTTTAGAGAAATTATTGAGGGGAAAATAATCGCTTAACATACAGAATAGAAAAAAAAACTTATTTTAGAAGAATGAGAACTAGAGTAGGGGAATTCGAAGTGAAAAGTCATTACTTCACACCCCGATGCAAGTCATATGATTCATTCATTACGAAATCCAAAGTAAACGGCAAAGATTATTTATTAACGAAGTATAATTTATCAATGATCAATGCTCCAAAGCAAATTCTTGCTGACAGAATCCTTTTTCTCATAGATAACTACAAAATGTTTCGTTGTGAAGGCGTTTTCTTTCATTCATCAATCCCATCTTCTTCAATCATTGTTCCTGAAAACATTGGAACGAAATTACAATACTTTTATGTTGTAGAACCACTTCCTATTGTCACTCTTAGTGATTATGTTCTCGAAAATGGTGTAGATCAAAAATTATTGCAAAATTATTTTCCTAACGTCTTAAATACATTATCTTCTCTCCACTCAGTTCGATTTCCATACTTGGCACTCTCACCATTTACAATAGTTTTAGATGAAAAACTTTGGCTTCGGCCGCCACCTTTGAATCCATACACTTCGCCTAAATCATTAATGCCTCCTCCACCACATAAAAAGCGTACAAACTACATGGACATCGATTATCAGCGTTTATACAGAGCACCAGAGTGGAAATCTGTTCCTCCATTTTGGCAATCAGATTGTTGGGCGATTGGCGCGATGTTATGTGAATATTTAATATATGGACATCCTATATTCATGTCTTCTTCAGATACAGATCAAATGCTTATTACTCAAACAATATTAGGTCCAGCACCTTCGAAATTAAACTGGCCAATCACAAAAGAAGCCAATATAGCAGATCTACCGCCAATATTAATGAGATTACTTGACTACGAACCACGCGTTAGACCTCCAATGTGTCTCCATATCGCTATCCAAATAATGATGTTGATAAATGGCGAAGAAGAGAAAAGCGATGAATATGATGAGCGCTCGATACAAACATATTCTAATACTTATTCATATTCCGAGACGCCTGAGAAAGAGAAACAACCTGTAAGGATTATCAAACAGTTCAATAATCCTCCACAAGTTTTTAAAGAAGAGAAAGTTCCTTTGAGTGATAAAGGAGTCGGATCTTCAACAATCAAACAGAATAATGTAGACTTAAACGAATCTTCAAACTGGGAATTAGATATTCCTGCAATTTCCCCTGCAAAATTACAGTTTGATCATGCTCCTTTCTTCGAAATTCCTCCGTTAAATGCAAAAACTGATGAAATTCCACCTCCTTCGACTAAATCTTCGAAATCAAGTCAACAACCAAAACAGAAATCATCATCTTCACAAAGCAAGCCAAGTTCCATCCAAGAGAAAGAGAAACCTAAGACTCCACAAGAAAAATCACCAAAAGTTGAAGAAAAACCAAAAATTCCAGAAGAAAAACCACCAAAAGTTGTGGAAAAGCCAAAGTCTCCTGAAGAAAAACCTGTTAATGATAATAAGGATGAGATTCCATTACCTCAGCCTTTAAGTAGTACCAAAGCTGTTGAAGAATATAGTCATGAAGAAGAAAAAGAAAGTGAAGAAGAAGAAAAACCATTAAATATCACAAAAACAACGAATATTTCAACAATGAAACTTCCTTATGAATCGCCAATATCATCAGGAATACCTTATAGTTATGTTTATGATTCAAGTTATACTCCTCCTGTCAAAGCAAAGTCTTCTGGATATGATTCTCCACCTCAGAAAGTTGAAGAGAATTCTTATGTTTATTCAACACCAAAAATCATTGAAGAAAAAATATCTTCAAACGAGAAGAAATATTCATCATCATATTATTCAAAGAATGAAGAAGAGAAGCCTAAAACAACTTCATCGTATTATTCTAAAAATGATGAACCTCAGCCACCAAAATCTTATTCATCATATCCATCAAAATCTGATGAAGAAAAACCAAAAACTTCATCTTCTTATTCTTATAAAAATGATGAACAAAAACAAAAGCCATCTCCTAGAGATGAAGAGCAAAACATCAAGCCAAAACAGATTCATTATACAACATCTTCGCAGTATTATGATTACACATCATATAAATACAACTCAGAGAAGAAATCTGATGAAGATAAAAAAGAAATTAAAGTTTCAGAAATTCCTAAGACAAAAAGTGAAAATGCTGAACCGAAAACATTCTCTTCTTATACATATACGCCATCGTACATGAGTGAGAAAGACTTGATTGAGCCAATTGTTGGTTCTTATTCTTCTTATTACTCTGATAACGCAAGGGTTCAAAAGAGAAATCAAAGAATTGAAAGGAAGAATGATAATTATTCATATTCTGCTAATTATGAGAATAAGAAGTCATATTCTTATAGTAACTACGATAACCAACAAGCTAAGCAAGATCGTTATTCATCTTATTATGATAATAAGAAATATTCAACTGATGAAAATCAAAAATCTTCATATGATGAAAAGAGATATTATTCTGATAAATCATATAGCGATGAAATGCTTGATTTGGAGAGAAGAGTAAGAGAAATAGAGAACTCTTTCAACAGATCTCAGAAAGAAATCAGGAAACTCCAGAAAACAGTTTCGGAATCACAATATAGTGATGATTCTTTCTTAGATGTCCAACAGCAAATAAGGAAATTACAAGGACAATTAAAGCAAATAGATGATGATATTATTGGTGGCTGTGTTGGCTGTGAAACAGGAAATGCAGTTAGAAGAGGAATGTCAAAGCTTGAAGCTGATTTCATGGATATTAGAAGTACTTTATCTAGTTCCCAATACTAACCAAATGTATTATATTTATATTGTATTATTTATGATTTAATAAATGTATAAATTTATTGTTAATTTTACTATCCTTAACTAATGTTTAATCCACCATTAATTAAAATTAATATTCATCTTATAAGATTCCTTATTTTATTCCAGATTTAGTAACTACGAAACTATATTGAGTATCAAAGGTTTACTAAATATAGTTTAATGAACAATAACAGTTAAAAATCAAGAATGAATCAATTCATTGGGAAAATTGTTAATATCGCTATATGAAACAAACTACATATACAATATCGATGAATTTTTGCAAATCAATACCATCAAATTGTTGAAAATTCTCAATTATCATAACAGGAATGATTGAGAACTCCATAATATTCAAAATTACTCATTAAATTCGCAACATGAAACAAATTCAACATAAAAAAATTGAAATTCTCAAGATTAGATTATATGTAGTTAAATTTTTTTATTTTTAAAGAGGGTTATTACTACGGAAAGTCAATGAAGTCAAAGGCTCATCGACTGTAGTAAGTGGTGACAACAAACTTGGAACACTCGTGAGTTTCGCTTCTTTCTTCTTCTGGCAGCAAAGAACAATGATGACAATGACCAAAATAATGATAATCAATCCCATGGAAGTTGAAACACCAATCAAAATGTTCTTGTACTTCTTCACCTCTTGTGAATCTCCCCCTTCATCTATTGTTGGTGTTGGAGATTGTGGTGGAACTGGAGTTGGTACCTTTGTTGGTGTAAATGTTGGTGGTTCTGGTGTTGGAGTTGGATCTCTCATTTTTGTGTCGAAATCATGCCAGAAATATTCTCCTGTTTCATCCTTTTCGCACTGGTCCTTATAGTTTTCCCATGATTGTTGGTCTGGAAGAATAATTTCGACATTCTTGAAAGAGATCTTCTCATTAAAAGTATTTGGTGGAAGAGAACCGAAATAAATCTTCTTCAAGGCAGGGCAATCATCAAATATCGCTGTGTATTCTTGTTTGACGGTAGTTAGTGATAAAAGAGAGATTGATTCCAAATTTGTACATCCAGTAAAAATTCTATCGCCATTTATAGATGTAACTGTATCCAACTTAAGGTTTATGAGGCCTGTTCATCCACTGAAGCATTCTTCTCTTATATCTCCGAGTCTTGGTATTGAAAAACTCTTTAATGAGGTGCATCCCTTGAAAGATGAAGGATAAATGATTCTTGTTGATGGCAAAGTGATTGTTTCTAAGGAGATGCAGTCTTTGAAGGCTTCTTCTGAACAAAGAATGGCATCATGGAAAGAAACATCTTTTACTTTCTTGCAGCCGGAGAAACAGTTAGGAACCTGTTGTAATTTATCAAATGATACTGAAACAATGTTCGGACATTTAGTAAATGAATCAGTTCCGAGGTAATTAACTGTATTTAATGAAACTGTCGTTAAAGCTGGACAATTCATGAATGATTCAGCTTCGATACGAGTTACCTTTGCAAGTTCAATCGTTGTTAAGTATGGACAATCAGAAAATCCTGTATTTAGTGTTTCGAGAGAATTAAATGAAATTCTTGTGTAATGCTTGAAGGAAATTAAGTCATTTGGAATTGTTGTGAGAGATGAGAACTGAATATCGTCTAATTGAGTAGCTTTTGCGAATGATGAATTTGAGATCTCAGTAAGAGAGTCAAAATTAAGAACTTTGAGTGAACCAAGATCAGAAAAGATATCGCTAAGGACTTCTGCATCTGGGAAGTTCAAAGTCGCAAGTTTTGGACAATTTTCAATCTTATTTTCTGTGTCAAATGTGACTTTGCCATAAATTTCGATTAAAGTAAGTGACTGTGAATCACTGAAGATGTCTGCAGTAATCTTTCCGTTAAAGCATCCTGATGCAATATGGAACTCTGATAAAATTTCGTAATTTTTAGCATTGAATCCAGAAAATGTGAAATCACCACTAATTATTTCGATTTTTCATACTTGATTGTCCGCTATTCCTGAATTTTTAATGATTGATATTAAATCATCGCCTTCGAATGCTTTATCATTGATTTTGACACTCAAAGCAGCATCTTTAGCCATATTCATCCTTGAGCTGGCAATTAGTTGCTTATTATATACGGCCAATACTAAGAAAGAAAGCATTGAAAAAAATATAAAATGGAAAAAATGGAAGATGCCAATGAATTGAATGAACGGGGATGAGCTAAAGATATATAAATATGGACATCTTATCTATTATATAATTAACTATTGCTTCTTTTCTTTGATTATCATTGTCATTTTTTAATCAACTAATCAATGAGAGCTTAATATGGAAACACAGTAATGTCCATCTATAGTATGTTTCAAACTTAATTACCATTTTGCTTCAATGGCTATTGATATCATTTTGTATTCGAAAATGTAAATTGGATCACTGTTTCGATGCAAAAAGTTTATTATACCAATTTGTGGTTTATATCTATGTATCTAAATAACCAAATTTATAATTATCAAATGAACTACCAAAATTGAAGAAATTTGGATAAAAATTCAATGATCTTTATAGTTTTCTTGCAAAATTATAATAAGTTGATTGCAAATCGTTAAAAAGTGCCACTTTTAATTTTCATATGAGTGAACCACCTGCGTATTTAGCTATCCGATTCGATAAAGATGAAGCACTTCAAAATTTAATAAGTGCTGGTCTGGATATCAACACTAAACTCGAAATTTTAAATGGACCAACAATTTTATTTGATCATCCACCTTTAATTTCAGTTGCCTGCTATTTTGGATCACTTAAGTGCTTCAACTCTTTAAATATCATGGGTGCTGATATCCAACTTCCAGATGATTGTGGAAGAAAACCGGTTCATTTTTCCGCATGTTCCAAAAATTCATCAATCATTAATTTCATAAGTGACCTCACTAATATTGATTATGCTGTTGATAATGAGCATTGGCTTCCAGCTCACTATGCTGCCCATTATGGAAGGACAGAGATTCTCCAATGGCTGATGATTTGTGGTCATGATTTATTGAGTCCAGACAATCAAGGAAGATATCCACTTCATCATGCTTGTATTTCTGGATCCGTCGAATGCCTGAGAACTTTGTTAATAAATAATTGTGATATTCAACAAACAGATGTTGATGATTGTTCAGCTCTTTATTTTGCAGCTCAAAGTGGAAGTGTAGAATGTTGTAAATTGCTTATAGAAGCCGGTGCAGAAATTGATGAGAAAAATATTGATGGAAATACTCCTTTGCACCGTGCTGCAAGTTTAGGAAACACTGAAGTTGTTGAGTACTTGATTAGTAAAAGTTGCAAAATTAATCTATTGAATAATAATGGAATGTCTCCAGCTCATCTTGCAGAAGAAAATGATCAATCAGATATCGTCAAAATTCTTGTGTCAAATGGTTGCGATTGTGACATCAAAAATTCAAGAGGTAAATCATTATTAGAATTGATTGTTGCTCAAAAAGATATGATATGTCTAAAAGAAGCTGTTTATTGTGCAACTAAAAACGAAACAATAACAAATGCTGCTTTTGTAGCTGCTTCAATGGGAGAAGCAGAATTTCTTGCTGTTTTGGTTGAAGTTGGTGTTAACTATAAGGCAACAACTGGTCCGGGCTTGTCTTTACTCCATGTATCTGTATTGTCTGGTTCAAATAGCTGTGTAATTCTTTCTTTGAACGCTGGTTGTCAGGTGAATGTTGTTGATAATCAAGGAAGAACTCCATTAATCATTGCTGCTGCCCAAGCACCAATAAATGTTGTTCGAACACTTGTTGATGAAGGATCGAAGCTTGGGGCACAAGATAAATGCGGAATGACAGCTTTGCACCATGCAGTAATTAGAGGAGATCTAGAAGTCATATCTTACCTTCTCCAATATGGATCAAATATCAGAACTACTGATAATTTTGGAAGATCGCCCTTGCATTACAGCTTGAAGAATAGAGTCATATATGAATTCTTATTATCAAAAGGTGCAAACCCGAATCAACTAGATGTCAATAATGAGCCTGCGAAATAGTTTCATTTTGTGTATTTATAAACATATAGAGTGTTTTGTTTGTAAGATATTTTCATATAATTTTGCTTTGAAATACAAGATATCTTTTTGAAGCGCAAAGGAATTGTTTTCAATACCGTCCCTTCGGTATCAGACAATTTGTAAATTTCAATAAATGAAGGTTCAGAATTTTTCCCTGCCTTTTGTATAACCCATTTATATAAGTTTCGATATCATTCACGGGGGCTTGAGCAAAGTGAGACGCTAAAAGTGATATCGAAACTAATGAAATGGAAAAATTATACTTTTAATTATGAAAGAAAGGAAAAATGTGAGCATGATCAGATAAGCACATTCAGAGATAAAGCTAATTTTCAGGTTGAATTAGATTATCGTCAAGATGAAAAAATATTCTATTAAAAATATTGATAATCAAAGCTTTTAATTATGCACATGAATAATAATTTGATAATCATCACTATACGAGAACTCAATTTATATCCAGGATCTGTATTTTAAAAGATTTATCAGAAATGTTTGGTAATTTAGAAAATTCATTTATTTTTGATGAACATTATATCAGGAGTATTTGATCCCTCGAATAATTCTCTTTTAAATTTTGAGAAGTTATAAAAAATATTCGATCATTTTAATCTTATTTGATACAAGAATATGTCTAATTCGGACGTTAATTTTTATCATAAACCTAAAAAAGTGAAAAGTGTCTGATTGATTTTGTAAAAAAAATTGGAAAGTCTCATCACACTTTTCAATGCTCGATTTTTAAAAACTGTTTAAAAATGGAGCTTATATTGAAATAGTGTAGAAACTAAAAATTACCACAGACTATTTCAGAGGATTGAGTGGCAACTCAATCCTCTGAAATAGTCTGAGGTAATTTGCAAAATTAAACTTACCAAATGATAACTTAAACATATGATGTGATAAAATTTTGATTAATTTCGATTTTGAAATTCCGTACGTTTAGGGAAATTGAGGATTGTTCTATTGGAAATTCAATTAATTTATACTAATATTTAAGTGAGTAAGTTTTTTTCCAAAAAATGTGACAGGCAAAACAAATTCAAACAGACACAAAAATTTCAGATATGATGACGGTTATGGGCGGTCTTTCAAAATGTCTGAATACGCTCTTCAAGCTAAGCTCGTACTCGTCGGTGATGGTGGTGTCGGCAAGACAACATTCGTCAAGCGCCACCAGACTGGTGAATTCGAAAAGAAGTACATCCCAACACTCGGCGTTCAAGTTTCCCAATTAGTTCTCCAAACATCCCGCGGCCAAATCCTCTACAACATCTGGGATACAGCTGGCCAAGAACGTTTCGGCGGTCTCCGTGAAGGCTACTACCTTGAAGCCCACTGCGCTATCATCATGTTCGATGTTACATCCCCAGCCACATACCGTAACGTTGTCACATGGCACCGTGATCTCATCCGTGTTTGCCCCAACATCCCAATTGTTCTTGTCGGCAACAAGATCGATGTTCGTGACAGAAAGGTCCCAGCCAAGCGTGTCACATTCCACAAGAAGAACAACATGAGATACTTCGAAGTTTCCGCCAAGTCCAACTACCACTTCGAAATGCCATTCCTTTCCCTCGCCAGATCCCTCCTCGGCGATCCAAACCTTCAGTTCACAACAGCTCCAGTTCTCATGCCACCAGAAGTTCAGCTTGACCAATCCCTCATCTCTCAGTACGAGAAGGAACTCCAGCAGGCTGATGCCATCCCACTTCCAGATGAAGATACAGACTTCCTTTCTTAAAATAAATGTTTTATGCATACATTGCTCCTAAAATTTTTAATTTTTTTCTCGCAATTTCTCATTGATTTTTGGTATTTTCTCTCATTTTTCCAATTTACTTTTCCAAACTCATCCTCTGAAGCATCACAAATATCTTGTATGTAAGGATTTGAAGAAAAACATGAGATTCAAAAATTGGTCAATTCACATTTTTTTTCCATCACAATTTAGAGAAAAAAAAATATGGAAAAATAATGGATAAAATTAAGAAAGTGTTTAAAAGAGAAATAATAAAAATAGTTAAATTACCAGCCGTATGATAATGGTTGTTCAGCCTGTTCCTTAGCGCCGTTTGTCTCATCACCGCTCTGGCAAAGCTTGATGCAGCTAAGAACTGTACCGACAATTAAGATAGCAGCGAAGATACCGAAAGCGACATAGACGAAGATCATGTACTTCTTGAATCCACCCTGGATTGTATCCTTGCATGTCTTTGTGGATGAATTAGTTTCGTTGGTTGCGTTTTCTTCCTCCTTTGGCCAGCCAGTGCACCCGAGAGTCTTTTCAGCTTCTCTGATAGCCTCGCAAACGGATGAAGAATCATTTGTTGATTTGCTGCAGTTCTCCCAGTAAGCTCCGAACTTATCAAAGGCCTTCTTGTTGTATAAGACAGTGCCAACAATGATACCAATGCAGATGGCGGCAAGAACGAGGAAGATAATTGATTGAATAACTGACATGCATTTGTTCTTGCTGAATGAAGCAACAACATCGAAAACGAAAGCAAAGATGAAAATTACGTCAGCAACAATGAGGATGGCAGCGAGTGTCTTATCACCACTGATTTGTGGGATCTTATACTTGTAGATAAGAACTGTAGCAGAGATTGTGGCAGCAGTGATTGCACCGATTGTGATAAGTGTAATAATAAAAAGAACCAGCTTTGAGCAACAGTTGGCCATTTTTTTGGAATGTTATGACACTTTTTATTTCAATAATGCACCGGAAGTTATTCGATGGGAAAATATTTAGATACGTGGTTGCTTGATTCTGGTGGATTTTTATTTTAAATCAAAAAAGTGACGCATAACGATGTGAAATGGTCTTATTTTTTGAAAATAATTTTAACGATAAAATAATTCAATTCTGAAAAAATGATTCTATTTGGTTTTTAGTAGTCAGAATTGGGTAAAGGACATTATTGAACTTTTTTGTTTTTTTTCAGATCCGCTTTATTGAAAGGTTTTACAAACGATTCAACATCAGATTCCTTTTATATTGTTGCATGCTAAGTTCGGTCAACGATAGAAATTGAGTGGAAATTAATCGTCGAGGAAGTACGATTATGTAAAGTAAAAAAATGTTGTGGGATTTTTAATATTATATATTATTTTATAATAAAATTTTTTTGAGTCATTTTAAGAAGCACATATAATTTTTTGAATTTAAAAATTAAAGTAGTGTCAAACGAATTTATCACTTAATTTAATACTCGGATTTCTTAAAATTAATGAAAAAAGGTTTTCTGAGAACTTTTGAGAATGGTTTTCAAATTCCATTATTGAAAATATATAGGTATTGTATGAAATTCAAACTCTATATTTATTAAAATTCTAAATTTTTAATAAAATAACTTTTCAGAGGAATATGATTTTGAATGGTTGATTAATAAGTATAAAAATGTCTACGATTTTAAGGAGAGAATTGTTCCGTATGAGGTATACATCATAACTATATACCTCATAAGGAACAATTCCCTCTTGATAGCTGGGAAACTTTCTCTGAATAACTTATCATTTGGAGAAAGTTTCCCAGCTATCTATTAGAAACTAAAGGCTGTGAGGCACTAATATATAATCAGTGCCTCATAGCCTTTAGTTTCTTATTAAAAACGAGAAAACTTGTTCGAAATGATAAACAATTTCGAACAAGTTTTCTCGTTTTAAGGAGGGAATTGTTCCTTATGAGGTATACATCATAACTATATACCTCATAAGGAACAATTCCCTCTTGATATCCTGGATATTTTTGAATATATTTTTTTAATTAAAGTTCTCAAAAGTATTATCAAAAGTGATTTTTTAAAAAATATCTCCAATTAATTAACTAATTAAAAGTATTATATTTTTAAAATTAAATAGTTTTTCAATTTTTTTGAAGGAATTGAGATACTTCCCACGACAATAAAATTGAGAGGTTTACATTATGACTGATCTTAGCATGCAACAATATTTATATCAGATTCATGAACGGTTTTTTTATTGATTAGAATCTTCTCAATTTTCTCAACTTTTTTGTAAATTTATTCGGTCTTAGGGCCATAAGTCAGATTCATGATGACGTCAACGCATCAAATTGTTTTCACATACTTATGTCAACTATTTTTCATCTCGTTAATCATATGTAAGAAATCATAAGAATAAGAAGCCGAAGATTCGATATCCGTATCATCTGGATCAGGAATAGGAGATATTTGAAATGGTTTCCAACTTGTTATTGGCGCTTTTTGGTCCAAATTAGATTTTTCAGAATTAATTTGAAATCCTACTGCCATTATTTTGTCTGAAATCTGTACATAATTATCTGCTGAATCATCTTTTACTGCAGATGGTGGCTTAAAAAGGCATTTTTGCTGTTGTTTGTTTAATTGTTGTTTTTGAAGCTCATATCTTTCAATCGCGTTAGTAACTGGTTCATCGTTGATCATTTGACCAACAAGAATATCTATTGTTTCACCTGTATTTTTCATATTTAATTGTAAACCGGGTGAATTTGGAGTTTTATGCTCTGGAATAGGTGATTTCTGTTTTTTTATGGTTCTGAATTGAAGTATTTTGGTAATTCATTTGATTTTGTGTTTTTTGGAATTCAATTGATAATTGTTTGACATTTTGTTGATTATCTGATTCTGGGAGATTCAAAGGACTTTAGCTATTGGCCATTTGGTTTTCGTTTATGGGTTTTGATTTGTTTGGCGATTTACTCTTTGTAGTCTTTCTTTTGCGTTTGGTAGGAGATTTCTTATTGCTAACATCACTTGATTCATTGTCTTTTTTAGCTCTTTTGATTTTCTTGAAGCGAATTTTTTTCGTTTGTTGCTGTTTGTGGTCCTGGTTTCTTAAATCATCATCTAAAGTGAGGACTAAACCAGGAGCTTCAGATATTATTGAACTTTCTGGATGATCTAATTGATCAGCTCTGATATCACACTTTTTTGGAGTTTCGTTCGACTTTTCTGTGTTGGTGGCACGATCATCAATGGGATCAACTTGCCTTAATGGGGGATCCTTCGTTCCAGATGATATATTTTTCGTAAACGTATCAAAACTTTTTAAATCATGAGGACTTGATTTAGAATGTTGCATACTATGTATATCTTTTGGATAGGAAGATGTTTGAACAACAACGAAAAAAAAAAAGACTTTCAATCGGAAATACTCACAAAATTCGATCGTAAATAAACAAATTGAGACCTAAATAAAAAAATAGCGATCTTATCAAACTCTCGGAAAGGAAAACAATTTCATTTCCACACGCTCAAAGTAAACTAGAAATATGATGAGATAGTCATTAAATCTCACCGAGAGAAGATATGAAATTCAATCTTTCGTTTGTTCGCTGAGAAAAGGAGTCATTGCAGAAAGACCATATCTTACACCGCAAAATGTATATGTTTTCTCGTCTAATTCAGAGCATATTAACGAGTTTTATTGTAATTTCAAACATTTCGGATCAAAAAAAGGTTATATACGATATGTGAGATAACATAAACATTTTATATCAGACATTTCAGTAAATCTGATAGATATTCTCTATTTTGCTCAAGAAAATTTATTGATTTTGTAATTTCCTGACAGCATTGATTGTAGCTTCAACAGGAAGTCCTTGTATGGTATCGAGGTTTCCATCAATTCGGCATGCGTTAATTTCAATTAGATCCTCGGTAATTAAAGCGCCAGAAGAATATTTTACGTATTTACCATTTACGTACTTTTCAAATTCTTCTGAAGTTAAGTCTCTTGTCATAATAACACGTGAAACGTGAACTTCGTAAATTCTTTCGTTTGTATCTGTACGGCCGATTGCTAATGCTGTATATACTGAAGTTATTTTATCTTTAGATCCCCATAATTTAACCATTCTAACTAAATCATCATGATCAATTGGTTTTTCTAAAATTTGATTGTCATAAACAACGACTGTATCATAGCACATGACAATAGCAGGATCTCCTGTAACTAAACTAAAGATTTTATCAAGCTTTCCTTTAGCAATTGCTGATACATGATCCGATGGTGTTTTTGGATTTGCTTCACGTGCTGTAGCTTTTTCGTCGATGTTTGCTTCCATCATCTCTATGTTCATTCCGAGTGCGTTTGTTGCAATCTCGTGACGCCACTTAGATGTGGATCCTAAGATGATCCTCATTGAATGTAAATGACTATTAAATAATGAAGCATTACATCTTGAACCGATGATGTAAATCATAGAAAGTGCAATTTTTATTTGTCCTCCTTAGTAGTATATGAGTGCGGGTTGTGTGACTTTTTTTGTTACATCTATATATAGACGATGCATTAAAATAAATTTATTTATAAATCATTAAAAAATTAACATTAATTTTAAAATAATTTATTTTTTTATCTTTTATAAAAGAAGCTATATATATAGATGATGTCAGATATTCCGCGATTAATTAAACATTGTTTAAATCCTGAATGGGTTAAACTTCAATTTAAAAATGAAGATTGTGAATTATTAAATGAATATGAAAGCCAAAATAAGCTAATGAGGTATAAATATAATGATAAAGAATATTTAATTTCATGGAATCAATGGAGTCATAATCAAAGACCTCATAAACGAGAAGAAGAAATTGAAAATAATGAAATGGAAATCATTGATGACATTAAAGAGGATGGAATTCCTAAATTTTGTAGAAAAACCTTTAGAACTAAGTTAGGAGCATATAAACGTAGAGTATTAAATCCTGAATATCTTAAACATCAATTTAAAAAGGAAGACTGTGAATTATTAAACGTTAATGATTATGAAAATGCAAAATCAAAACTGAGATATAAATATATTGGAAGTGATGAAAGATGCAAAGATAAAGATAAAGTTTATACAGTTTCATATAATAACTGGCACACGTTAGGGATTAGAAAACATTTAGGAGATTATGGTAAAAGTTCTGAATTCTTTAAATCTAGTATATACGAGAGAGTAAAAGAAATTAGATATAATTATCATTCATGAATGAAAAATAAACTTTAAAAATTCATGTCTTACATTTATGAATAATTTATTTTTATTTTGTATGAAACCAATATTAAAAATTCATGTCTTACATTTTTTGAATAATTTATTTTTTTAATTCGTATGAAAATGAGTGTCAAGACTAACGACGTTAAAAAATTGGGATTCACAAACGAGGAAATAAAGGATATATTAGAGGAGGCGAGTTATGAAGTTAATAAATATTATTTAAGAAATTGTCAAAAATTCGCGGAGTTATTAAATGATTTAGATTATGATGGAAAAATGAATAAAGATGATGTTATAAATTTCTTATATCCCACATCTGAAGAAGAAAAACCTAAAGAACCTGATGTTTTCCCTGAATATTATGAAGAACGGATTAAAGATGATGAATATGATGAAATTGAAAGACTGGAAAAAATAAGAGATGAAATAGATGAAAAAATTAAGGAATTAAGAGAAGTTGAAAAATATAATGAGAATGAAGTAGAGGGTTTAATGAATATCCCAGCTTCAGAATCAGAAGTTCAAAAATCTCATGAAGAAAGATATAAAAATTACTTTTTGGAATCTACTAAAAATTTATTAGATGGTGAAATAGATGAAACACTTTCAGAAGAAGGCACAAAATTTATTCATAAACATAAGTTACAATTTATTGACGATGAAGAATACCCCTGTATATTACTTTCACCTCCTCTTGATTCTGAAAAATTCAAAAAAGCATTGAAAAATGTAACATATGCAACAAATACGATTAAGAAAGAAGATCATGATATTTACACAAATTATTATTTAAATAAATGCACAGGTGTTGATAAAGTTTTTGATTTGTTAGATAAAATATCAAAAGAAACAATTGGTACATATAAAATTTTATGTGATTGTGGTTTCATTATTGAAGATACCAATAATGTTTCATATGAAAGAACAGCACCGAAGGAAGACGAAGTGGAAAGGTCTATACCATTCGTTATTAAGAATATAAAAGATATGAAAACTTATAAACATTATATTTATTCATTTATTTCAGAAAAAATGGAAGCAACCCATAAAACATCATCTCATCATTTTATAGCTATTCACACATTCCTTTTCAAAGTTGTGAAATTAAATAAGACAGGAATTAGATTTAATGTATCAGGGTACGCATTCTTGAGTAAATTAAAATGTATTCGTCACGTCGCAGATGATAAAAATTTATGTGTTCTTAATTCATTTTATGGACTTTAGCCCTGGACTTTAAAAAATAAACTTTATTTTTATTTATTTTTTAATTTTTTATTCTTACATAAATGAACAAAAACGGAACGGCTAAAATGAATGATAATCAAATAAGAGCCGAAGGTAGAAGGTTATTTAAACGCTTCTATAACATTCCTGATGGTGTTAATCCTAAAACTCGTAGAAGTTATTTAAATGAAGCCATAGATGCATATGAAGGATTTGACATTTCATCAGAAAGTGAGAGGTTAGCAAGAATGTTAAACGTTAATATTGATTTTTATTATTGTGACCCTCAACCAGAAGACGTAGACATTAACAAGGTAGACTTTTCATTAGTGGAATCAATAATGATAGATCCAGAATTTGAAACAGTAAATATTTTATTAACACAGAGTCCATGTGGAAAACTTCACGCTGACAGAATTACAGACGTTGAAGCACTCACAGGATATAAAGTTTGCCCCTTTTGCAAAGAAGAAGTATATTCTATCCGTGATGACCCAGAAAGGAAAAACCAAAGAAGATTTTTAAAACATTGTGAGAAATGTAAAGAAAATAATGGAAGATTAATTCAAGACGTTCAATTGCAAAACACACAACAACCATATGCACCACATATCACGAAACAGAAGATATATCAATGGCTATTAGCTCACAATTTGCAGGAATATTATAAACCAACAAGATATTATATTACTTTTGACTTCGAAACATTAGAGACTAAAGAAGAACTTCAACTTTCTGAATGTGCAACTTTGAACGCTTACTTAAAACCATTTATGGTATCATCAACTGTTAAAATAAAGCCGCAAACGGACTCTTTGAGTCCTGAAGGTCTTTCAGACCGAAGCGGCGAGGTCGTAGACCGTGATAAAACATTTACGAGGAATTTTTGCTTAACATCAAGTGATTCTTTTATTTCTCAAACGGACTCTTTGAGTCCTGAAGGTCTTTCAGACCGAAGCGGCGAGGTCGTAGACCGTGATAAAACATTTACGAGGAATTTTTGCTTAACATCAAGTGATTCTTTTATTTCTGATTGGATTGAGTTTTTATTTTCAACCTGTTCATTAGTTGCTAAATCAAATATTGAACAATATGAAGAATTAATGAATCCGCAAACGGACCAAACGGCGGGGACTTTGTCCCATACATTAAATGAGAAACAGAAGGAAGCATTTAAAGAACTTTTAGATGAAGAATTTAATAAAGTGAATATCATAGGTTTTAATTCGGGAAAGTTTGATTTAAATTTAATTCTTCGTGATTTAAATACTGCAAAATGGAAAATAAAATCAATACTGGGTTCTTCTTCTCAATTTAAGCAAATCATTGTAAAGAAAACAAACTGTCCATATGAATTGAGATTTATTGACATCAAAAATTATATAGCGGGTGGAACATTAGACCAATTTACTCAAGATTTCGGAAACAATAAATCACGTGTTAAATCCTTTTTCCCTTATCAATTCATCACATGGGAGAATTACGAAGATGAATTATATAAAGGAACCATTCACTCAAGATTCATTTTATTCAGCATTAACTCAAGAAACAATATCCGATTCAGATTATCAAATATATCTCAATGATGCTAAAAATTTTGAGAATAGATTAGAATATTTTATTCATTATTGCAATAAAGACGTTGAAATTATGATTGACCCAATTGATAAAATTATTGAAGAAACATTTGTTTATAAAATTGACATGCTTCATAATCTTTCTTTATCATCGAATGCATCAATGATTCGTTACGCGTTAGCATATAAAGACTTAATCCTAACGAAAATATCCAGAAGAAGAAAATGTGGAATCAAGTTTTGAATTAACGAAAAAGTATTGGAAATATAAAATTGAATCATATAAGAAACAAGATGAAAAAGCAGAAAGGATACTAAAAACAATGTTTCAATGGATGACTATCAATACTATCACGATTTAATCCTTTCATCTAAATGCAAAATGTGTGGTAAAGCGTTTACATATGCAAATAAACCAACATTGGATAGAATCGATAATGAAAAACCACATACTAAAGATAATTGTCAGTTAATGTGTTGTTATTGCAATGTCGTAAAATCAAATAAAGATGAAGATGTTCAACGTTTAAGAATCAATTTAAGAAATTATACATTAAAAAATAATTTACCAATGACTCTAGATTCAGTTGAAGCTTATCACATCCTCCGTAATGGAATTACTGGTGGTTTATCAAATGTTCAACATAGAGTAAATCTTAAAGGAATCACGCACATTAATAAACTTTCATATAATCCAGAAACTAAAACTGTATCAAATGAGGACACTTCCAACATTATGACTCATTTCGTTGGTGTTGACTTTAATTCATTATATCCTTCATCATTTTCATCTAATCCTCATGATTTCATTCAATATACTGACCATAAAATGTATATGCCGGGAAGATTGAATGGTGTTATCATTTGTGATACAGCAACAAAGAAAGCAAAAGCACTGGGAATAATTAAGAAGAAAAATACTTTATTCGTGGCTGAAGTAAAGGGTCACATTGATGAAAAATACATTAATGATTACATAAACTTTTTACCAATAATAAGAAACTTAGATATTATCACAGATGAAAAAACAATTGGTAGTTTTATGTATAATTACATGAAATCAAACAATCTACCAGTTGACCAGAAACAGAGAAATTAACTCAGTTAGCATCAACACACAACCAATATCAACCATTTTCTTCTTATTATCTTTGGTATCTAATAGACAGATTTCATTTTATCATTGATGACATTCAATCAATTTTAACATTTACGAAAAATACTTGTTTTAATGAATTTGCGAACGAATTTATGAACGAAAGACAAAAGGCTGAATTAGAAGGAAATAAAGGAAAAAGTTTATTTTGCAAGATTTCACTTAATGGATCATATGGTTACGATGCAATGAATACACAA